CCGACATCCATTCATGCTTCATCCCGTACACTCATCACCACTACCCTGGTAGGAGATGTGTGGCTTACTGGAGGCACTGTTTATGGCGAACCAGAGAGTAGCACTTACCCGCACTATAAGGTTCATAACGAAGAGCTTTTACACCATGTTGCAGGACATGTTTGCCACTTGGCCAGTGGTCCGCGTTTTCTTGCAGGTGATTGGAATTGTGAGATGGGAGCACTGCCAGTTTTTGACGTGTTGGAAGCAGCAGGTTTTAAAGATTTGCAGGATCTTGCTCACGATATGTGGGGCCAGCCGGTAGCCCACACGTGCAAACACAGCACGAGGAAAGATTTCTGTTTCGTGTCCAAAGAATTGCAAGTTTTATTGAAAGCTGTTCATGTTTCACACGACATTTTCCCAGACCATGCTGTGCTTTCTGGTACCTTCGCAGGTTTCAAGCAATTGGTGCCTAGGACCATTTGGACCACACCGAATGATATGCCATGGCCGGCACATTGGGAAGTAGATCCAACTTTCTGGAAACAGTGTGACTTTGACCCTGACACGAAATACCAATTGCTTTGGCAACATATTGAAGATACTGCATGTAAGAGCCTCCCTTTTGAGGTTCCTGACAAATCCAAAGGTAGGGCTGCCACAAGACTTGTTCAGAGAAAACTTGCCGGCAAAGTGCCCCCGCCTAAGAAGGCGAGGCCTGGGGATGTTCAGCCTCACTATGTGTGTGCCTCTTTTCGCCATTCGCAATGGCTTAGACAGACGCGCCGGTTGCAGGCGTACATGCGGCATGTCCAAGCACAGAGCGAGCATACTGAACATGCTAGGCAAATTTGGGGTTCCATTTTGAGAGCCACGGGGTTCTCTCCTTCCTTTGTTGAATGGTGGCCCCATAACTCTCACGTTGTCCATGGCACCGTTTCAACTATTCCGCTGGTCCCACCGGAGTTTGCAGTTGTGCTGAATATTTATGAGTCAATGGTGATGGCCTTTCGAGCTTTTGAAAAGGAACTGCACCAAGCTTCTCGTGCGTATGCTAGGCAGCGGCGGGATATGGACCCCAATGTGATTTTCCACGATTTGAAAACCTTTCAAAATCGAGGCATCAATGTCCTGCTCAAACCGCAGCAGGCACAAGTTGAGCAGGTACACCCTCAAACATTGGAAATCGTTTTGGATAAGCCAGTTGCCTTTGACCTCAGCAAACCTGTTTTCTGCTCTGGGGCGCAGCTTGACATCATACATGCTGAGGCAGATGCGCTGTGGGTCAGCCAGGTAGATTCAATTGAAGTTGGTTCCACTATTTCACAACTGCAATGCAAAGGAACTGACGAAGAGCTTTTCAAGATGTTCCTTGAAACATGGAAGGTGATGTGGGATCGTCATCGTGAGGTTTCACCAGGACGTTGGGATGTCATTTTGCAATTTGCTCGTGACAAGCTCAGGCGTCAATCTTTGTCTTGGCCAGCCATTGATGTCAATGCACTTGCGTACTGCATCCAGCACAAACGCAAGACCACGTCTGGGGGGCTAGATGGCGTGTCCCTGCACGACCTGCAAGCGTTACCGGTTGCTGCCCTCCAAAACTTCATCTACATGTTTGAACAAGCTGAAGACGAAGGCCTGTGGCCAGCCCAGGTTATTGCCGGCCGTGTCTCCTGCTTAGCCAAAACTGCTGAACCCCAGCATGCTTTAGATTTTCGACCCATAACCATCTTTAGCATCCTCTACCGTTGCTGGGGCACCTTTCATGCGAGGCATGCAATCCGTGCCATTGACCAGTGCCTGCCATTAGGCCTATACGGTAGTAGACCCCAAAGATACGCAGGTCAGATTTGGTCACAGATGCTTTGGTCCATAGAGATGGCGTATGAGCTCTCCACGCCATTGTGCGGGATCATTGCGGACATACAAAAAGCGTTCAACTTTTTGCCTCGTGCAGTGGTCATTGAAAGTTGTGCCCTGTTGGGAATCCCCTTTTCACTGCTGAGAGGTTGGTCAGGTGCTCTTTCCCTGATGTCACGCCGGTTCCAGGTGAATGGAAGCATTAGCCCCCCAGCCTACAGCAACTGTGGGCTCCCTGAGGGTTGTGCTCTTTCATGCTTGGGAATGATGGTTATTGACATCCTGTTCCATGAGTGGATGGTACACTTCTTTCCTCTCTGCCAACCCATGTCATATGTGGACGACTGGCAGGTCATTGTTGCAGATCCGCACAGTTTGCCTGGGGTGTTTCACTGCCTGGAACGTTTCACTGAGGCTCTTGACTTGCTTCTTGACCAGCGTAAGACGCATGTCTGGTCTGTCTCAGCTGATGGTAGGAGTTTTCTTCGCACACAAGGGTTTGGCACAGTGGCATTTAGCAAAAGTTTGGGTGCCCACGTACAATATACACGCCAGCACACCAATAAATGCCTCATGGACCGCATACACAAAGCAGGGCCGTTGTGGTCTAAGTTGAGACTTTCTGCTTGCCCTTATAGGCAAAAGGTCCGTGCCATCAAAAGCGCCGCTTGGCCCAGATGTTTGCATGCAGTAGCAGCCACCACCGTTAGCACTGCAACGTATACTTCTTTACGGGCAGGCGCGTTGAAAGGGCTCAAGTCAGATGCGGCGGGGGCCAATGCTACGGTTCACCTTGGCCTAATCGAGGACCCCACCAATGACCCGCAGGTGTGGGCAATCATTCAGACTTTTCGTTTGGCACGTGATTGTGGGGATCAACATAGGGTGGAAGAGGTTTTAGCAAGTTTGGCTTTGGGCCGCACTGACCTACCAGCCAACAGTATCACGCATACGTTGCTCACCAGAATCCAGAGCCTGGGGTGGCACGTGAATGAAAGCGGTCATATTGTTGACATGGTGGGAAGCTTTTCACTCTTTTTGATTTCCACTGCAGAACTGCAGTATCGTGTTGAAATCCACTGGCCTTTGGTTGTCCATGCTCTAACAGAGCACCGCCCGTGTTTCCAGGGCTTAGATCGTGTCGACCCAAGAGACACGAGAAGCTGGCTTAAGTCCTTGCCTGTCTCAGACCAAGCTTTGTTTCGGAAACTCCTCAATGGTACTCACATAACCCAAGATGGTAAACAATATTGCCAGGAAAGCAATGATGATGGGTGTAGATACTGTGGGAACAGCGACAATCGTTTTCACCGTTTCTGGCTCTGTGAACATTTTGAATTTGCGCGATCCGATATTCCGCCTCATGTGCATGATATGTTGCCTGATCTTCCAGAAGCAACTACGTGTTCAGGGTGGTCCCTTGCGCCTACCACCCAACATGAGTGGAACAGCTATTTTGCCCAGCTTGTGCCTACACCCATCCCTAAGTTTGATTTGCCATGTAAGTTGAACTTTTTCACGGACGGTAGTTGTCATCTGCAGCACTACCCCAACAGGCGTTTTGCGGGTTGGGCGATCGTGTTTGGAGACACAGATGCAGTGCATGATTATTCTGGCAGTACGATCGTTGACTCAGGAGTCTTGCCAGGTCTGTTGCAGAGCCCTGTCAGGGCGGAGATCTATGCTGTTCTTAGAGTCATGCAAATTACACGATTTTCACCCCAACCCGTCATGATTTGGAGCGATAGTGAGCTTGTTGTGAAACGGTTTCGCAAGTTGCTTCTGGGGGGTGTCCGACAAAACTCAGCTCATTCTGACCTTTGGAATGAAATTTTTGAATGTTTGCAGGATAGGGTGGCAGCCACTGCCATTACTCATGTTTCGGCTCACAGGCATGAGGGTTCTGCTACGAATTTCCTGCAGGAATGGTGTTTTAGGCACAACGCGCTGGCAGATAAGCAAGCTGTCAGAGCGAATTTCCATAGGCCACAACATTTCTGGGAGCTTTTTGATCGACATGTTTGTGCCTGCATCAACATTACTGAGATCAATCGCATCATCCAGAGAGTTTTGCTTACCATTAGCAGGGAGGTTGTACGCCAGGAAAGTCCTATGCAGGATGACCAGATGCCACAAGATGCCACATTGCCTCCGCCTCAGGTTTGGAGACCGATTCCGACGTTTCACCCACCTGACAAGGCGATTCGATGGTACGGTGACCCGTTGGTAAGAACCATAGCCAGCTGGTTTTGGCAAGTGGTGCATGGTAGCAGAGAAGATTTGATTTGGGTTTCACATTTTCAGCTCTATGTGGACTTCATGTTGACGACGGGTGAGCCCGGGCCGGTGCACCAGTCCAAGTGGAGAAACGGCAAGGACATCCAGGGCATCCGCCTCCTGGGGTTTTCCTTTCGCCAGAGAGCACGTTGGTTCACAAAATGTTGGAAAGAAATTTTGAGACATGCTGGAATTCAGGTTGAATTTGCATACGGCAAACCGTTTTCACAAGTGGTGCAAATGTATACAGGCTGTGCAGCCCTACCGTGGCCTTTGGAGAGACTTTCAATTGCTGATGAGTGGATGCTCAGCAAGTGTCACACCACATTTCGAAGACAGGCCCGAATCATAGATTCTTTGCCCTTTGCCGATGCCGATGACCGATTCCAGCCTTTTCTTGTTACAACTACGGTTGCTTGAGCGCCCAAGACGGGCAGCAGTCGAGACTACTGCTGGCCGCAAAAGAAAATGGGAAAATGGTGGTTTGGAACATACATTTTTTATTTTTCCATATATATATATGGGATAATATATGGGTTGTCATCCTTCCCATTGACGAAGTCCATCATTTTTCAGAGGGGTGGCGAAAAAACACCAACCAGATATATTCCTCAGGTCGAGCAGCCCACCTTTCATAGGGCCCTGGATTTGTGGCTGTGCTTCAGACAAAGTCCTGTCCCCATTATATCCCCATCACAAAAATATTATACATATACATACATATATATATATATTATATAATATATATATATGTATATATGTATGCATATTATATATATATACATATATGTATACATATTCACATAAACATATATACATATATATATATATATCCCCACTTGCAGAAGTGCAAAGTCCAAGTTGTCCAAGTTGCGCAGGCCGTGGATAAGGTGCAGATGTTGGTCCTGAAGACCTATAGCTTCATCCGATCCCAGGTTTGTGACCAGGCCACGACGATGCGATGCCATGGTCGCCATGGTCAAGTTCCATGGATTCACCAATGAAACTGGTGGTTTGATATTGGTTTAATATATATATATATATTATGTGAATATCAATATCAATATGTTTATTGATATTGATATATTGGTTGATATTGATATTGGTTTATCAATATATATATATATATGTATATATATAATATGATTTTCATGGGAGATATGAACAACTGTAACCAAGAGTTGGATTGTATACTGATTAATGAAGAACAAATTGGGGGATGGTCATCGATCCATCATAGGGATTACGAAAATCCATGATGTTTGAATTCCCACGGAATGGGATGGATGACCAAAAACCATATTCAATATATCTGGGCAAATAAAAACGACCTCACTGCGACCTCACTGGAATAATGGTTAGTAAGGGGAACCATCCCCAAGATAGCCTTATTTCAGGTTAGTGAATTATTATAATTTGCCCAGATATAGTCTCATTATCCATAGCAAAGGGAGTATGATGGGGATATCATTCGCTCATTCTATGGGATAATTGGATTCCCATCATACTCATTCATTCTATGAATTTTAACAGGGATTATGATGATTCCATTTAGAACTATTGATTTCTTATAGAATATGATAAACTAAATGGAATAATCTTATTGAATTCCATTTAATTATTCCATTTACAGTAGTTTATCATATCCTTTCTATTGGAATCTCCCCTGTAGAATGCTGGAGAGTCCACCAAAAAAGTTTGATGATTTTCCAGCCATGTTTGATGATTTTTCGGAGGGTTTTTCATGCCGGTTTTTCAACATTAAGCAACCATTGGATCCCATGAAATGCCATTAGAATCTTGATCATGTTTGAGAAACTCAGGCTCTTGAACCTGGCCTTCCAAAAGCCGCAGATACCGCAGATACCGTTTCGTTGAAGGGCTAAGAAACTTCCCGGGACGGACAACCGATAGCTGGAAGCTTGTTGAGACCTTCATCTATATATTTATGTCTATGTATAATACTACATAAACATATATATATATATACACAACACAACACAAGAATATATATGATATACATATGTTTCCCATGTTGTTTCATTTACATCCGCAATTCTATTGTTCGAATCCCATTTCCACATATCCGGGAATGGAAGCTTCTGATTGTTTTGCCTGGGTTATTCTCGATTTCTGTCGGCCAATTTCAAAGAGGACATGATTGGGGGTACAAAAGTGTGGATTGGGAGTTTCAAAATCCAGACGTGTCGATTGAATAGTTTACTCGTACTTTGCTACTTGATTTTTTGGTAGCTGGGCTGAGCCTTTTTTTCGGACCATTAGGGACCCCAGACTCCAAAACCTCCAAAGGAAAGGCGTTTTAAAACGCCGCAGGTGGAGCTGTTTGCAGAGTCCTTCTTCAAGCTGCCGATGCTTCGAAGACTCGAAGAGGCCAACATTGTGACGACAAATTTATGCCAGCTTGGTGAATGTCAACCCTGGTTATCCCTGGTCGCTTAATTAAGAAGGGAGGTACTCAGTGTCTGACCACAGATATTGATTTCAAGGGCTTCTAGCTCTTCCTCCCAGGAACAACCACAAGTACTTCCGAACTGAGTATGCAATCAATGGAGAGATAGCCAACAACAAATTGGAGATAAGCACAAAAAGGATCAAAAAGCAACAATCATGGAGAGGAAATCGCCGAGAATTGGATGGTTTTGAGTGTGTCTTGATTTGATGATCTTGAGGATAGTTCCCCTGGTGTTTAGGTTTCATCCTGCATGATGCACCCCAGTTTCTAGGTGCATGAAGGTTTTGGGGATAGTTGTTCAGAAAGCACCATTCGCAGTAGAAAGCGCAGACTCTGGAGATGCTGGGTATCCGTGTATCCCAAGAGCTGAACTATCGACGCTGAGGATATCCTGAGGAATCCTAAGGATGTAGCCAGCTTAAATACATGAGGATGTGACCAAAGATGTAGGTATACTCTGCCTGCCAATTGATGTGTAGAGGATTGTAGATGTGTCTCACACAAGGGGGGGTAGAACCAACTCAGGCAAAGAATGGCTTGTTTCAGCGATGATTTTCTGGTATTTCTATGTGCTTCTTGTCCCTTACCTGGTTTTGAATCACTATCCTGGTCCAACTTGCTTGGTTTGAAGTCCAGTGAAGTCTAGTGTATCTGAAGAAAACACAACCGCACCGCACAACTGGCCAGCTGTGTTTTGAAATACCTCCAAAACATCTCTGTGCAGTTTGCTTGGATCCCAATCGAGTGGCAGGACATGAATCGCATTGCTCTATCTGAGCAGGACAAAGCCAACTACAAGGCAGTCTCTTTGTTTGTTGCTGTTGGTGCAACAATGATCTGTGAGATGTGGATGTGTTTTGCATCTTTCTTTTTCGCACTGAACTGGCTTGTTTGTTAGATGTTGATACCTGAAGCTCTAACACGAGAAAAAGGCTGCACTATTCAGTTAGACCGATTATTAATCAGTGATATTAAGTGCTCAGTTTTCCTTTTAGCAATTTTAAATAAATGCGGTGCCACTGCGAAACCTGTTGTGGAAATGATTTACTTGGCTGCTGTTCAGCATGGCTGAAGTCACTGCATTTTTTCTAGGTTTAATCAAGTGCTGGACCGCATGTTGTGGGGTATTTCAAGACCTCTCACAAAGCTGGACTGGTTGTTTTGGGTTTATACAAAAGTTGGCTACTCCCAAATCCCAGGGTTTATCATCGAGTTGAACATTACGTTTCCTCTTAAAATGCGAATTCATTGATTCTTGGGTTGTTTCGGGGCAAACCCAGATAATATATTGTTGGTGATACCTGCATGATATCCCATGATATATCCTCATGATATTTCCCATTTTGGATTTATAACCATTGCATTTATATAATGATATTGACCCTGATATCCCAACTATTATTTCCAATTACAGTATAATATCATATCTATTTTTATTGTTGGACAAAACCATACTGGCATCATGTTGCTTGGGTGATACATTCAACATATCCCATGATATCCTCATTCTATTCCGGAAAGTTTCATAAATCCCCTAGTAAAGGACAGCAACCTCAGTTTATCACTCTACAATCAGACGCACCCAACAGTCATAGTAATCAAACATGGATGGAACACCCCTACAAAAATGGAGGTTTTGATGACAAAATCATCGAACTCAATGGTGGCTGTTCCGTTGACCTGTTTGAGTACCGGAGGGTACATATACCTGGACCAGTATATTCCCATGAAATCCCATGAAATCCCATGAAATCCCATAAAAACCATTGAATATCCCCCGTCACATCTCCCCAACGAAAATCCCCAGTATGGGTTGGTTATAGAACGCTCAATTTTCCACCATCCCACGCTCCGGCGATCCGTTGGTCAGGCACGTCGCGAGCGCTTGGAGGGCGATGTGATTAAGGCGACAGCATGGGACAGCTGTGCAATGAGATGGAAATAATGTGGGAGGCTCCAAATTCACAACTTTTCAGAGGATTCTAATGGGATTCGAATGGGATTCGAATGGATTTCATGAGATTTCATGGGAATTCTAGTGGGATCCAAGGACTGTTCGATAATATCATGGGATTTACCTTGCGGTGTCATTGATGACGTGGCTGGGGAATCCCCTCTGAAAATATGCGACAGTACCAACCAAAAATATTCACATGGGTGAATAATTTCAAATACTCCAAAACATCACTAAACATGGGTGTATACCCATGTATCTCCTATTTTCAAGCAGTGATAAGTCTGATATGATGGGTTTTGATCCATCTCCACATGGATTTTATCAGAGGAAAAGCCATGCATGTTTCCCGAGCAAATGATCAACCAGATGGTTGGTTCTTGGAGATCTATGCTACCTTGCTGGAGGGTAAGTCATGATATGATATATATATATATGGTGTATGCAATCATGGCATTCAATGATATTTATGCATATTAATGATATTATGTGAATATATGGTCTTCTTGTAACTTATATATAACCACCTTTAAAAAAAAAAACGCTTCTCCACGCAGATTCAAAGGTCAGAGAGAATCTCAAGGAGGTCGCTGACTGCACCGAAAGGCTCCAGGTGCGTCGTAAGCCTTGGAGGGTACCCAAATATCGTTCAACGTTTTCGACCGTTTTCGTATTGAAATCCACTGCTTTTGGTAATCCACCACTAAAAAAAACGACTGAGTTTGTCTGAGAAAGGGGTACGTTGACCCTCTGGTAAACTAACATAACTATGGAAAATCACCATTTTTAATGGGAAAATCCACTATAAATGGCAATTTTCAATAGCTATGTCAGCCATTACCAGAGGGTACCCTGAAAATATCACAACGTTGCTATTTTATTAGGGAACATGTTGATTGACCGATAGATTTGTTCCCCACCTGCCAGGTGAGGGTTGTTAGATTTTATGTCAGTTGCCTCCTCCTTCTCCTCCTCCTCCTCCGCCTCCTCCGCCTCCTCCTGCCTCGTCCTCCTCCTCCTCGTCCTCCTTGTCATCCTTGTCGTCCTTGTCGTCCTCGTCGTCCTCGTCGTCCTTGCTCAACTGCGATCCGCGATCCACAGTGTTCCTCGTCGTCCTCGTCGTCCTTGCTCAACTGCGATCCGCGATCCACCGTGTTCTCTGCCGGACCTCAACCACGACCACCCACGCCCAGTGTTCCCTGCCGGACCTCAACCACGACCATCCACGCCCAGTGTTTCCTGCCGGACCTCAACCACGACCATCCGCGCCCAGTGTTCCCTGCCGGACCTCAACCACGACCATCCGCGCCCAGTGTTCCCTGCCGGACCTCAACCACGACCATCCGCGCCCAGTGTTCCCTGCCGGACCTCAACCGCGAGTATCCATGCCAACTGTTCCCTGCCGGACCTCATGTAGGAATGTCAGATAGACTGCCAGATAGAATGCCAGATAGAATGTCAGATAGGATGCCAGATAGAATGCCAGATAGAATGCCAGAAAGAATGCCAGAAAGAATGCCAGATAGAATGCCAGATAGAATGTCAGATAGGATGCCAGATAGAATGCCAGATAGAATGCCCGAAAGAATGCCAGAAAGAATGCCAGATAGAATGCCAGATAGACTGCCAGATAGAATGTCAGATAGAATGTCAGAATATATGTCAGATATAATGCCAGATAGAATGCCAACATATATGCCAGAATATATGTCAGATAGAATGCCAAAATATATGTCAGATATAATGCCAGATAGAATGCCAGAATATATGCCAGAATATATGTCAGATAGAATTGCCAGAATATATGTCAGAATAAATGACAGGTAGAATGCCAGAATATATGTCAGATGAAATGTCAGAAAATATGTCAGATAGAATGCCAGATAGACTGCCAGATAGAATGCCAGGTGGAATGTCAGGATATATGCCAGATAGAATGCCAGAATATATGCCAGAATATATGTCAGATAGGATGTCAGAATATACTAAATATATGTCCAAATATTCGTCCCGACATGTCATGGTGGGGATCACGCGAAGTAGAGTAATTCCCCACCTGCCAGGTGAGGGTTGTTAGATTTTATGTCAGTTGCCTCCTCCTCCTCCTCCTCTCCTCCTCCTCCTCTCCTCCTCGTCCTCCTTGTCATCCTTGTCATCCTTGTCGTCCTCGTCGTCCTCGTCGTCCTCGTCGTCCTCGTCCAACTGCGACCCGCGATCCACAGTGTTCTCTGCCGGACCTCAACCGCGACCATCCACGCCCAGTGTTCCCTGCCGGACCTCAACCGCGACCATCCACGCCCAGTGTTCCCTGCCGGACCTCAACCACGACCATCCACGCCCAGTGTTCCCTGCCGGACCTCAACCACGACCATCCACGCCCAGTGTTCCCTGCTGGACCTCAACCACGACCATTGAATGTCAGAAAGAATGTCAGAAAGAATGCCAGATAGAATGCCAGAAAGAATGCCAGATAAAATGCCAGATAGAATGCCAGAAAGAATGCCAGATAGAATGCCAGAAAGAATGCCAGATAAAATGCCAGATAGAATGCCAGATAGAATGCCAGATAGAATGCCAGATAGAATGCCAGATAGAATGCCAGAAAGAATGCCAGATAGAATGCCAGATAGAATGCCAGATAGAATGTCAGAATATATGTCAGAAAGAATGCCAGATAGAATGCCAGAAAGAATGCCAGATAGAATGCCAGATAGAATGCCAGATAGAATGTCAGAATATATGTCAGAAAGAATGCCAGATAGAATGCCAGAAATAATGCCAGATAGAATGCCAGATAGAATGACAAATAGAATGCCAGATAGAATGACAAATAGAATGCCAGATAGAATGCCAGATAGAATGCCAGATAGAATGTCAGAACATATGTCAGATAGAATGCCAGATAGAATGTCAGATAGAATGCTAGATAGAATGCCAGATAGAATGCCAGATAGAATGCCAGATAGAATGCCAGGTGGAATGTCAGAATATATGTCAGATAGATTGCCAGATAGAATGCCAGAATATATGTCAGATAGAATGTCAGAATATATTCAAGATTTGTCCAAATATACGTCCTGACATGTCCTGACATGTCATGGTGGGGATCACACGAAGTAAAGTAATTTTTTTTTGTGGCACTTGCCGCAGACAAACCCAAATTGGACACACCAACATCCCAAAACTAGGATTGTTATGGCCGGCTTTACTAAAAATGACCAGCATTTGAGATCATACCCGCAAATGTCAGGGGTTTGTAGACCTTGCGATCTATGCCCAGGTGGCACAAGTACGCGTTGTGCGTGAATGTCACAATAGCTGGATAAAGTTTACATGGCTAGCTCAATAATTACGCTATTTTTTGCTATGAGGATATTTGCCAACCAACTACTTTTTTTGCAGGGTAAGATTCGCTATGTCGACCTCCAGACGGGAATGTCAGATTGCATCAGTGCACACATCCTGGGTACAACACCAATTGGGTCCATGGAGTGCCCCAAAAAATGTCACTTTTAATAGGGACTCCCAAAGACTCCCAAGGACATAGCCATACATACCCTGTAGTAAGCAAACCTGACCATGAAAAACCCATTTAGGATCATTTCCTGATCCAAAAGGGAACTGAAAAAGAAAGGCATGTTCCAGCCATCCAAATCTGTTTAGAGGTGATACCTCTTGCCGACTTGCTCCACAGGCCTTCAAACTGAAGTGTCAAGCACAACGCTCGCGCTAGCGGAGTGGGCCCACGCATCGCTTCTATGCGGTGGTTTTAACCACCCAGGGGGGAGGACGTCGTCCTCACGTGTGCGCGGTGGGCGGTGCGTGCGATGGTGGGCAAATAGCCATACAACATCATACAGCCACTGTTGCAACGCTTGTAAGGCGCATCGATTATCGCTTGGTGTCACCCCGCATGTTCAAATTCAGTGACCCGGCGCCACTCCAGGATGTCTATCCGATAGATCATAAGACAAATCTCATCAAGTTGGCTAGCACCTCCAGCACCATGGCGGAAATCAATGGAAATAAATAGTTGTTAATCATGGCGGTGCCATTTTTAGTAGCAGATAAAATCAAATTATAATCATATAGAATCACAATTTGAGGGTAACCTGGGTTGATATGATTCTTTGAGGTGTAGGGCAGTGTAGGGATGTACTTGAAATCCAGCCCGATGGGGGATGATTCATCCGATTGAAAGTTGTTTTGGGAGGATGATAGACTCAACCAGAAAGCAGTTGTTCATGATATTCCACTTATGTTCCTCTGATACCCTCATTTCTATTGATTAAATCCATTTAATTCCCAATGTTTGAGCATAGTTCGCTGTTTGAACTCTCAGTTACAGCTACAGTGTGTATTGTACATTGTAACGTTTCTCTATCACCTTTATCTGTTGTATTCATCTCGTTTCGTGGTTTCTCCCTCCAACTTGGTTGGGGTGAGAGACCCCTGGTGGGCCGGCTGCGCTGGCACAGAGATGGGGGTGACCCCGTCGTGGGAGTCTCCCACAAAACCAAACCAACCTGAGACACAAGGCGAGCGGCCTATCATAATAGGATCGCATGCTACGCCTTAAGAGGTGACACTTAACCTCAAGTAATTTGGATCAGGTCTTGAAGAAATTCCCTCTTTGTACCCTCTGGTAAATAAACATTAGACCCTGAACATAGCCAATTTTTAATGGAAACTAGTCTTCCAACCCCTATCTGCCAGGGTCTATGTTAATTTACTAGAGGGTAATTTTGTGATATGCTGGAAAATCGACGCATTTAGAAACCGTAACTCGTCGAAGTAAATTGGCCCTGGCTTCCGCAGCTTGAACTGTTAAATATTGCAGTCGCCTCTGTCGGGGGGATAGCAGGGACTCATTTCCCAAAAAACCGATGAACACCGAAACAGTTGAACCGGTTGAACCCTCTGTTGGGGAACAGCTTTTAGAGCTGAAAAAACATAACTGTGCTGAACTTTTCCGTGAAATCAATCTAATGATCATTGAGAGTCTATTCCAAGTGATGTTGGACTGATTTTGAAAAAGCATGTCATCTCCCTTTCTATCCAGGAGATCCTGTGGATATACATGATACACATCTTCTGGGGCAAAGAAATGGCAGAATCCATCAGGTGGAGTCTCCAAATATGGGTCCAAAGATTCCAGCGATTGACCGTCCGCTGAATCTGGAAACAGAGCCACCTGTGGGTCTCATTTATTCAGCAGCAAAAGAAAGCTGAAGGTGCCAGTGTGGGTTTCAAAGGAAAGAAGTGAATTTGTTAGCACATTGGGTAAACCATGGTAAACCCAATTCCAATTGATGATGATGATGTGTGCTTCTCATGAAACTAGGGTGCAGTAAAATTGTTCTTTTGGGGTGTACCGGTATACCGGTATATATACCCCATGTTTAGACAAGCCATTGACAAGCCTAGAAAAATGATGGAGGAAAGCTGGTGTGTTTACTACACAAATCGGGATCGGACATTGGATGTTTGAATATCCCAAGCGCGTCTCGGAGTTCCAGTGGATGGCTTGGAAGTGACCAAAGCCCTGCTTGATTGGTTTTTGTAAGGGGTTATCTATCCTGCCTGTTTTATAGGGAATTGTCATACAGGAGGAATCCCTACTGACCAACCACTAGAAGGGCTGATAGAGGGTTTTGAACACTGCTTATTTGTCCAGTTGTTGACTGAATTTGGTAATTACTTTGTATATTACTTCAACATCAATTTGCCATTATTCTGTTTTTTGTGCTTCATGTTCTTATTTATTTGTCAACTAGGCATGTAAAGGGTTGCTTGGGTATTCTCCAAATATACCCTTTGAGACAATGACCTTGAAGCGGGCTACATATTGTGTTTGAAGCTCTCAGTTGAGGCATTTAACCTTCGAACCAGTATGATTTTACTCTTGTTACCACGGTGTTGAAAGTGCACTGTGATTTTTCTCTCCGAAATTCGATGGTTCAATCCTTCTTGGTGGTACTGTAAAATCCCTATGATGATTCATCCCATGTGTTGAATGGTTTAATCATGTTTAATCCATATTTGTGGCGCTGCTTCCAGTTGTTTCGCCCCTTCGTTTGCATTTGGTCCAACTGCCGGCAGCTTCAACTGCCTGAACTCGTGGGATGGCGTACCGCAAATGTGACCCATACCAATATCTGGACACTAAAACAGAAATCAAGCTGAGTTGACACAGAATCTTCCAACCGCATTTTCGGACTTCGTTCAAACTTTGTCATTCAGTGTTTTTAACCTCATCACAGTTTCAAGTAAAAAACCTCTGGCAAATTCTTGAAATTCAACATCGGTTTTCATGTTCAGCTAAAGCAATAATACTAATAATACCCTAAAGTTCAAATTTCAAAAAAAAAAATACTCTACTTCGTGTGATCCCCACCATGACATGTCAGGACGTATATTTGGACATATATTTAATATATTCTGACATCCTATCTGACATATATTCTGGCATATATTCTGGCATTCTATCTGGCATATATCCTGACATTCCACCTGGCATTCTATCTGGCAGTCTATCTGGCATTCTATCTGACATATTTTCTGACATTTCATCTGGCATATATTCTGACATTCTACCTGTCATTTATTCTGACATATATTCTGGCATTCTATCTGACATATATTCTGGCATATATTCTGGCATTCTATCTGGCATTATATCTGACATATATTTTGGCATTCTATCTGACATATATTCTGGCATATATGTTAGCATTCTATCTGGCATTATATCTGACATATATTCTGACATTCTATCTGACATTCTATCTGGCAGTCTATCTGGCATTCTATCTGGCATTCTTTCTGGCATTCTTTCTGGCATTCTATCTGGCATTCTATCTGGCATCCTATCTGCCATTCTATCTGGCATTCTATCTGGCATTCTTTCTGGCATTCTTTCTGGCATTCTATCTGGCATTCTATCTGGCATCCTATCTGACATTCTATCTGGCATTCTATCTGGCAGTCTATCTGACATTCCTACATGAGGTCCGGCAGGGAACACTGGGCGCGGATGGTCGCGGTTGAGGTCCGGCAGGGAACACTGGGCGCGGATGGTCGCGGTTGAGGTCCGGCAGGGAACACTGGGCGCGGATGGTCGTGGTTGAGGTCCGGCAGGGAACACTGGGCGTGGATGGTCGTGGTTGAGGTCCGGCAGGGAACACTGGGCAGGGAACACTGTGGATCGCGGATCGCAGTTGAGCAAGGACGACGAGGACGACGAGGACGACAAGGACGACAAGGATGACAAGGAGGACGAGGAGGAGGAGGAGGACGAGGCAGGAGGAGGCGGAGGAGGCGGAGGAGGAGAAGGAGGAGGCAACTGACATAAAATCTAACAGTAACAACCCTCACCTGGCAGGTGGGGAACAAGACTTAAGTAGTGTAAACATGTTGAAAAATATCCAGGAAAAAAAATCGTCAGGATCCAAATCCACCCTGCCTCGCCATGGAGTTGGCTCCACTTTCTGGTGTCCCCGTGGCCTGTGGCCCCACCGTGGGCGGCTCCTGCGGCTCGCGCAGGGCTCGGACACCACGATGGCCCCGGGGGCCCGCGGGGCCCGCGCCGCTGCTGCCGGCGATGGGGCTGGCGGCATGGCGGCGGAAGGAAAAAGTGGCCAGGAAGGCTGGAAAAACTTGGGAGTTGGATGGTTGTGGGAATGGATAGTATGTAAATGTATGTATATATATAATATAATATATATATATATGTATGTAAATGTATGTAAATGTATGTACATTTATGTAAATGTATGTAAATGTGTGTAAATAAATGTATGTAAATGTATGTAAATGATTGTAAATGTATGTAAATCATGTAATATGATGTCAACATCTATATATTGAATTGTGATCATTTATGGCACTTGAGACAACACATGCACATGTTTAAAGCATTGGGTGTGAACCAGCATAAAATGGGATTTAACCAGCAAGAATCCATGAGTTGGGGAACAAAGGTTGACATACGTTGACTGTCAAAGATTTTGCATGCAGAAAGCGATGAGTCAAAGCCTGGTACATCCTGGTACTCTGGTCTTCACATCCCAAAAGTCAACCCAATTTTAGGGCTACTTGGCATAGACCCATGCAGAAATCCAAGTTTCGTCTTGACTCCACTCAACGGACACGTTCATCGTGGCATCTGTAGGCTGCAAACATTGGCGAGAAGGCCTGGGTTGGGATCCAAAAGTGGATCGATGCGGGATCCACAAAGTGGGGACATTCCGGACATACCCCCAAATCGAAGAACGAAATATGGGGATCGAACTTCAGGAATTGGACGTTGAAAACTTGCTGATTGCATCTAGCAAGGTCTAGTCTAGTTCATCAGGAGTGGCTCCAGGGGTGCCTACTATTTTAAGATGGCCATCTTAGTGCAGGGGCTGTCAGGCTTCAGACATGTCATGCTCATACTTATCAAGATTTGTTGGTTCACCATCAGACATCTCCAGCATAACTAGATAGTGGCCCCCAGCCTCTGTCCCAGCCTAGTGATAGCATGTGATGGCACCTGTCCCAGCGGGATTGCCGTCTCAAGTGACAAGTAACATTTGGCCGCGATGCATTTACCAATTACCAATCTTTCACAACTGGATGTGCTTCCGCTCAAATTTTCTAGTTCGAAATGATTGTCAATTATTGGCTGGAAATTTTGATATCAACATATATCAACATTATCAACTTTCAGGAATTGGCAATATTTGGCTGTGAAATCTCACTTTGTCTCAATTCCTGCTTTGAAAACGCCTGTCTTAGTTCAAGTTTTGTGCGTCACAGTCCCGAGTTGCTCTTCCTATACACACAATGTTCTCGTTTCATGTTTTGGAATCCGACCTGAGTTGGCTCCCGCTACAGTCCCGTTCTATCTATCAATGTTGTCCCAATCAAATCCGCGCGGGACAGTTTTCTGGGAGCTGCAAGCCCATCAATCATGTTATTTACAATGAAAAAGACAAACTGGGATTAAGACTTCATGATTAAATTAACTATCCTGGTTGATTTAGCAGTGTAACTCCCAAAAAGTGATCAATTACTGTTATCACATATTTTACCATATATTTACCATATATGTTAAAATATGTTAAAATGATACATCCACAATGATCAACAGCCCGGCGAATGAACTTCGTCGACATCGTATCACTGGTTTGGACCACCAAAAAAGTCTCATGACCCGGGTTTAATTCAAGCACTGGTTGAGTAATGAAGGGCTCACCCCAGAAAAATATGAATCTCACTTGAAATATGGGCGCATTGAAAAGCCATTCACTCATCACAAAGCATGTTATTTGTCCGTATGTAGGGCGTAACCATCGGCATTCACCATGAGTTCAACCAAGAAAAAATGCGTGGGAAAGTCAGCGGTCATTGTTTGGTGGACTCATTTGGTGGGTCAAAACCTATATTGAACAAAACATTGAACATATTAATCAGATATAATCAAATCTTCTGAGATATTCCAGAGCCATTGAACATATGAAATCAGCCATTGAACATAGCTCTGGAAGATCTCGACCACGGCCACCATGGCCACCAGCAGCATGGCTAGCATGGCTAGGTCCTTGGAATCGATCTGGGCACCACCAACAGTGTCATGGCTGCCGTGGAGGCGGCAGTGCCTACGGTGCTGCCCAACTCAGAGGCGTTTTTTTTGGATTTTTGGGGAGAAAAAATGGTGGATTTTACCCTTTGGTAATGGCTGACATAGCTATTGAAAATGGTGATTTATAGTGGATTTACCCTTTGAAAATGGTGATTTTCCATAGTTGTGTTAGTTTACCAGAGGGTATGGAAAAAAGGTGGAAAATCAGGGAAAACCCATGATGGAAAGATGGGAACGTCTCGGAAAATCCATCCCAGTTTGGGATTTTTGTGGTCCGAGGCTGTCTGAAAATGAAGTCCCCTAAGTTGTGGGAAGATCGTCATAGCAAGAATTGGAGCCAGCCACAATCAGGATTGAAGCAGAACAAAATGAACAACTATAGGTTGTTTTGTCAGAAAAGCATTAGATCATGAGATTTGATTCGCAAGTTTCAGTGGGGATTAACTTCTAGCAAACTAAGAATATTTCATGATATTAATGATGATATGAATATATAGAAAATCCATGAAAATCCACCATTCATGGATCAATGGATCATGTCGCAGGGAAAGCATATGGCTAAGCATCAAAAACAACCGGATTGAAGCCTGTCTGATTCTTCGGGGACCATGATGACAGTTACACGGTTAACCACGGTTTTTACACCCATACTACAACAGGACAGCAAAATACAGCATTTTTTTGTCATAGGGATTTGGCTGAAGCTGTTGAAAAACCGGTGAAAACCAGCTGTTGTCATAGGGGCTGAAGCCTCAACACTGGAGAGATTTCGCAAAGAGCAAATGACATCGCGGCACAAGCGTGGAATGAGGATAACCTGAAAGATTCCCCTGAATTGGTTGATATAATATACCCTCTGGTAAATTAACATAGACCCTGAAAACAATCACTTTCTATTGGAAACTAGTCTTCCAACCCCCATCTGCCAGGGTCTATGTTAATTTACCGGAGGGTATCTACCGAAATGTTTCCTGTAACCAACTCGGGTATCCTCCACAAAACTTTCCAGGGAGAGCGCACTACGCCTAGTGTGACGAGCTTGGAGATCTGTCAGCTTGGTTTGTTCACGTTATCGTAACTCAGTAGCGGATACGTCAGGAATTTCCGGAAGCCCACAGATTCTATTTCTTCTATTTCAATCATTGAGGTCCTTTCATTTCTTTTCCAATCAGAAAGGATCCATCTAAAAGTGTTGCTCCAAGTGCTCCAACCAAAGAAGCTGGGAAACAGCAGCTTTCCTTGAAGCAGTTTATTGGCATGTTGGGCAACACAGAATGACCACGTGATGCCTAGCGTGATGGCGTGGGCTGAGGTGGTAGCTTATTCCAAGGATGGGGAGATTTTGGTGGGCACCACCGCCAAACGTCAGGCATGAGCTGATGGAAGGGGGAGCCAGCCAGTGCCCTTTTCGGTAGGAATGTTGTGGTTTGTGTTGGTTTGTTTTGGCAAATTTGTAGATGTTCATCAAATTCAATTCTGATTCTGAAACTCTTAATCATGTTCCATCATATGGGTGTGTCTGAAAATAGTGTACCCCTAAACCCAATGGTTTTGCTGATCATTATCCCTATTAAATGGCTATAATTGGGGGTATACCCCATTTTCAGACATACCCATCTTCCTATGATTTTCGGAGGAACTCAATGACTGTTTTTGTAGAACCGAAAACCTTGGATCCCTTGGATCAATGGTGGAGGCCGCATTGAATCCTTTGAACACCTTCGGTTCTGTGAAGCGATGGTTTGGTCGCACCTTTGCCGAGGCGACGTTGCGGAGAGAAATTGGATGTCACTGGGAGTTGGTCAGAAAAAAGATGTACCTATTTATAGAGGACGATTCATGGGATTATATGTTTTGATTTATAATGTTAATTCATGATATATATATATATATACATGTATATATATATATGTATACATATAGATATATATATATATCATACATATATATATATATTTAATATAATGATATTTTATAGAGATTATGAACATAGATTTGCTGATGATGATTACCCTTTGGTAATGTCAGTGCTATGAAAGCCATGGCCTCCAAATTCCGATTCCAGGTGGAGTCTGATGCGCGGTCGGTTCCCTATCACCTGGTTGACAAAGATGGGAAGGCGAGGGACGGAGATCTCAGCCCAAAGTTAAAGTGACCATTCCTGGTTGGTGGTTTGGAACATGACTTTTATTAATTTCCATATATTGGGCATAATAAGGCCCAACTGACTAATATTTTTCAGAGGGGTAGGTATTCCACCAACCAGATTTAGTTGTGTTTCAAAACCCTACACTCGAAGGTACTTACTAATGTCAGGTTTTGCACCAAAAACTAGTCCAACAATATACAAAAAGGCCAAAAAGGCAGATACTATGACCATGGATAAAGATCCAGAATAGAATTAAACAGTATCTGTCATAGTATAAGTTAATAGTATCTACCATACAATACCCTCTGGTAAACTAACATGGCTATGGAAAATCACCATTTTTAATGGGAAAACTCACTATAAATGGTCATTTTCAATAGCTATGTTAGTTTACCAGAGGGTAGTATCTGTTAAGCCCTTAATTTTTTGCACATCATCGAACCATGCGCGGCGGTGCCATCGTGCCATCGTCAGGCGCGCTTGGACTGCCCCAATCTGCAGCGGCAGCTGGCGCCCGAGGAGGTTTCGGCTCAGGTGCTGAGGCGCAGCGAAGAAAAAACCCAGAGCGGGTCATGGGTGGTGATGAAACGATGGGGATTTCATGGTCTAAAAATGGGGAATCTCATGGAATCCCCAAGTCACCAGGGGTTTCAATACTACAATATACTACAATAGCCATCCATGACTTGATTTGGATGATTTTAGCGAATTACCCGATATGATATAGTATGCTATCATGATGTAGCATGTTTTTGTTTGGTGATATCATGCAAATGTGCAAATAGATAGTTTGGAAATGGTTGGAACATGTTGTACATCCACACACCGGTGAAGGCGTCGGTTTCCTGGATCTGAAGTCACAACCTTCACGAGCCACCCTTGCAGAATGGAGGGAGAACACATAAATCAGTTGGATTCATTTAAAATGTGGCCTTTGTCGAAAAATCGATCAGATTAAAACGAACTTGGGATTCGTCATCTCTTCACCAGGAAGTTGCAAAGAGACGCTTCCGTGTTCCTGAACGCCGACGTGAAAAAGGCGGTGATCACTGTTCCCGCGTGCGCAAAGCGAGCTGCTTAGGTTGCTTTGAAATTATCCCTAAAAGGGAGAGATTTGCAAACCCAAGGGTTGGTTCATTCTATTGTATACTATATAACCTCCTCAAATTGTCATACTACTGTCCAATCATGTTCAATGATGTTTAATGTGTATCCTCATTTGTTTTGAGGTTGTCCACCTTTTCTTTTGGTAGCTACAAAAAAACCGATCACATGATTTCTCAGGACAATCGTCCGCTGAGCCGCAGGTTGTTCCGGATGATTGCTGTAGCTACTCCGGACGATTCCATCTGATGATCAAATCCCAATCTTGGAATGCTCAAATCCCAATCCGTTGCTCAGATCCATTCAAGTCACAAGATGATCATTTCCATGGGTGAAATCATGTCAATCCCCAGATGTTCGCTTCATCTTCCCATACTTTGGCCATCCCCATGGGCCCACATTCCTGTCATGACCGGGTTCCCCGGGCTTCACCGGGCTCGGGTCGCAGGTACTTTGACGATGCCCAGCGGCAAGCCACTAAGGCTGCAGGTACGTTGGCTGGACTCGAGGCCTGAGACATTTTTCAGCAACCACCTTTTCTTGGGTTTACCGTCATAGACAATTACCCTCTGGTAAACTAACATGGCTATGGAAAATCACCTTTTTTAATGGGAAAACTCACTATTTCTATGGCCATTTTCAATAGCTATTTTGACATAACCAGAGGGCAGTAGTTGTTTCATAGCATTTTTTAAATATGTTGAATAGGGATTCATGGGATTTAATGGGTTAACCTCATGTAATTTTTGATATTTTTTGATCTGTTCCATTGGAACTGCAGTTTGATGATTTTTGATGTGTCCCATTCTCAGACACACCCTTTTTGGATGTACAAATTGGAGGTTTCCAAGAAAAGGGTTGTACCAACAAATATATGGATTAGAGATGATTGGAGCTTGAAATTTTGAGGTGTTTTACCACCACACATGTTGGATTGGGGCCCGCAATGTATGGCAAATTGTTTGACGGGAAAACAAACTAATGAGGTGTTGATCCTGTGGAAGTGGGGTTGGCCATTTCCGGGTTCCAACCTGAACTTGAGACATGTGTTGTTTGAAACTAGGGTACCCACTATAACCCACTGCTCAATCATCATTATCCCTGTTCAAACGCAAATTTGGTGTTATCATGGAGTATACCTATTATTATCCAGTGATTTAAATAGGGATAAACACCTATCATTATCTGGTGGTATACTCCATGTTCAGACACACCATTTGTTAAATGGCAATCACTCAAATGTTCATTGGTTTCGAAGCAGGCCAGGCATGCGCTGGCCAGGGATACGTACAAAGAGCAGGACCTCCTTGGCAATAAACAAAATAAGATGTACAATAACCCCAGAACAGCACCTCCAAGATATCTTCATCTATCTTCCAAACTATATTATATATAATGTATGTATGTATGTATGTATGTATGTATGTATGTATGTATGTATGTATGTATGTATGTATGTATGTATGTATGTATGTATGTATGTATGTATGTATGTATGTAATTATATATATATGTTATTATATTATATTATATTGTATTATATTATACTATATTATATTATATTATATTTTATTATATTTATTATGTTATGTTATGTTATATTATATTATAATATATTATATGTAGTTATATATATATATTTATTTATTCATATGTCCAACTTATGAATCTGCTTTAACCATGCCACCTGATATTCTTTGGTGCCACGTTGCATATCCTAGTCAGCGCGTGTCCGTGTTGCACACGCAGGTCATGCGAGTGTGCAACGAACCCACAATGGCAGCCCTAGCGTTCCCTGGCAGGAGATCAAACCAACCATTTCATGGGGCACAGTACTATGGAAGAATGTTTTTGTCCAGCAGGAATGTGGTTTCATTGTGTTTTTAGTGACTCTTCTGAATGGCAGGTGGAAATTGGATTCTCTGAGATCAGTTTGTAGGGAAAAACACTAAACTTTGCTCTGGTACTTGAATCTGAAGCTCAATAGTTCGGGTCCTGTGATCAAAGTCAGGGTTCATTTTGATAGTCCTGTTGTTGCATCAATGCATAAACCATTGTCGAGCTGCTGCTGACTTGACCATATCCCTGACCTTGCACTGATGCTTTCGGTGAAACATAGCAACTCTTCAATTGTGTTTAAGATGTTGGATTCGAGGCATCCATCTCAATCGACATATGTGCTGAACAATGCTGAACATGTTCAAGGACTCAAGGATGTTTTGTTTTGATTGGCTATCATCACCTATCATCCTTCATCCATCCACTTTCCCTGGAAATCCTTCCACCAGAAGTCCGGATGTATCCCACCAGGTATGGTTTGGATCAGAAGAATTCGCCAGGGAAACCCAATGGGAACGGCGGGAAGCTGCTATGACTTGGTGCCATTGTGGACCCATGGGGTTTTTATATATTTTTTGCATACAAATTTGCCCCACCATCCACCCAGCTGCACATTGAAATGTCAGACCCTACATTGATCGCTTGGTTGTGGAAGCATTTTCACGCATTCGAGCGCTTGAACCAACATGTTTGTTGCTCCAAGCCCCAATGTTTGTTGGGAATTATCATAGTTCAACCACTCATGGGTTGGTTCCTACCATTTCTGGATATGATGCTCCCATATAATTTCCCATCATATGTTCCCACCGAAAACTAGGAATTCCAAGCTAAAGGTTGCCCAGATTCCCAGAATTGAAGGAAACATTGGAACCAGAAACCCCCTTGATGGAAAAGCCATTGTTTCAAACGTACATGTCCCTTAAATCAATCGATAGTGCTTGGTTCAATCCCCGCGTTTTTTTGTTGGTGGAACGCCAATTTTACCATAAATCCCAAATATAATCGTTATGTCCCTATGAATGATTCATAAATATTCATAAATGTTGGATATACCCGTGCATATATATATAATATTTATATATATATATATTATATCCATATATATATATATAATTATATACATATATATATATATCCTTATATATATATACAATTATATACATACATCCCTGTCATTCTCATAGAAAATATCACCAGAAGAAAAGCAATCTACATTATATCTCCATCATACACTGGTATATCCCAGTTACTTAATCCATCATTGGGAATATGTGGATGTGGGTCAAAATTAGGTAACCCAAGAATTTTCAGATGCTCAATGCCGAAAAAAAAACGAAATCGCTGGTCAGGGACTGAAAATTTGACAATACTGGGAGCATACTGTACCTATCTAACAACTCTTCTAGCAGAGGGTTCATGCAGATCACCATGATATCACCCGTCCCAGAACTGGATGGGAAAATGTACAGGAAGCTCCCCAGGGTCGGTGAAGAATGGTTTCAACCGCAGATTTTCCCTCCCATCCATTGAAATAAAATACATGAATCCCATTTTAATATATCACTATGTATATCCGCATGTTCGCTGACAAAAAACTCCGAAATTGCAACAATTCGCAACCTCAAGATCAAACCAATCAAAAATAACTTGCTTGCTTTTGCAACCCATCTATCCAGTGGTTAAAAGGGAGCGATTCGGAGCCGGGGGTATTCATATTTCCTACTAAATCGGGAGTGCTGCGCAGCTACAATCAGAGTTTCCCATAGTTTCCCAAACACACACACAGACATATATATATGTGAATAAATATATATATATATACATGTGAATCATATATATATATATATGAATCATATAATTATATATATAAATAATTTATAAATATGTTTGTATGTATATATATATGTCGTCGTCATCATCATCATCACCACCATCATTATCATCACCATCATCATCATCATCATACATAATTATATATATATACGCTTATCATCACTACATCCCCATTTTCCTTTCCAAAAAAACACATCCTCTGACGCCAGGTCCAATTTGTTGGTCTTCGATTTGGGTGGCGGCACCTTCGACGTGTCGGTCATGGAAGCGGGCGACGGCGTCTGCGAGGTGAGCCAAGTTCATGGTGGTTTCATGATGAAAAAAAGAGAAAACAACCATAAAAAATCTTGATTTTAGCAATTTCAACCATGAAAAGTAGTGTTTTGTTATACTGGTGATTCAAAGTGAAAGAAGACAAGTCACGGTTTCAGCAACAAAAAGTGGGGACAATTCCAGTCGCAATCGGATCATGGGATCATGGGGACCCATGGGGACCTGGTGAACCGCCGTAGGTCACCATCGAGTTGGGACCTGGTGAGTTGTTGAAGACTTTGAGAGGTGAATCTGTGATTTTTTCACTCTGATTTATGGATATTTATGGTGGTTTACAGGAAACTTTGATGTATTTTATGTGGGTCTGAGATTTTTGTTTTGACTAGATATGTTGCCTCAGATTTACCCAAATATCATGTCCCATATTTTCGGTTAAGAATGGTTACCTATAATTGCCCCAATGATTATCTATCGTGTCTCAGATTGTCCAATTATCATCAGGGGGAAAAACAATCAACTATGTCCCAATATTATTCAACATTTTGTAATATGTGTTTGTTCATATTATGTTGTATGAATTGTCCCCCTATAATCGCAGTATAATCCATAGAATCACATACAACATCCAAAATAATGCCGTAACAGCAGATAGAAATAGAATCACATAAAATCCCACATCCCAACATTATCCCAACATAATCCCAATATCGTCCCATCAACTCCCATACCATCATTGAACCCATGGAAAATCCCCCGGTTCTCTCGTGATGTCGACCAGGTTTTAGCCACCAATGGTGATACACAGCTGGGTGGCGATGACTTTGATCGAAGGCGGAAAAAAACTGGCTGAATCTGAGGGAGCTCATTGAATTATACTGGGTTTATATTGAGATTTTATGATTGGGATATCATTAAACCATATCAAACCACTACAATCGAAGGCCTGACTGGAAGACGGATGTCTTTTCGGGCTGTATATGGAAGAATAGTATGGGACGAACTGGCCAATTGATGCGAATTTTAAGCGTCAAAATTTAGAATGAATACTGGAAATTGAACGATAGGTGGGTCTCCAATACTACCATTTCGAGTGGGCACCTGTTCTATCCCACATGCTGCATGTATTGTAAACTGGTATACCATGGTATCCCTATATACATTCGGGGAATTGTTCCTTGCAAAGGTTGCAATATTCCATACATTGTTACATGGCACATCAGTTTCCGAAATGTGTCGTGGACTTGGCTCTTCTGGTTTCTTCGGGGAGATACATGTCACTATGTTGTGGATAGTTCCCCTTCAACCAAGTACACTATACCATACCAGCAGGACCTGACTTCTGGCCAAGAATCAACAGCGGTCTTGACAGCGGTTCGCAAGGCCATCGTTCAGGTCATCATGTTCAGTTGATGCACCTTTAGATTGGGAGAGATCAGATATGATGTACTCAAAGATGTCCAAAAACTGCTGCAAAGTTTACTGTACATGGTGTGATGTTCAAGTACGACAAGGCGGACTTGGGGACCTCAACATTGAACTGTGGCTGACTGGCCGTGTCCTGTTTCTGCAGCAAGAAATAGCATGTGATGGTGATACCTGTCTAATTATTTTGGGAAAATTGTTTCTGGCCAAAGTCATTCATCCCTGTGTGTAGATAAAACCCGTTTTCCATGCATTTCCCCGTCGAACAAAAAATACACCCTTGAGATCACTAGTGAAAAACACCCCTCAAGCATTACTATATAAGTTGACAGGTCAAAGCGATGTGGAGACATTTCAGTTTTCAATGTTTTCAACACTTCAAGAAGTGTTCTGGCTTCAATTACAGAAACATCATGAACTACATGGGTGTGTCTCAAAATGGGATATACCGCACAAGGAGCCTCTTAAGAGGGATAATGGTGGTAACTGACTGGATTTTGAGAGCCCCTATTTTCAGACAAACCCACATCATGTTGTTTTCTTGATTGGGGAAGCAGAATGTTTTTTTTAATGGAAGGATGTGTTTTTTGATTTTGTGTGATGGGAATCTGTCCCAAAAATTGGCAAAATTGCACAGTAACCCCATGGCCCAAACCACCAGCGCCCCAGTGCTACATTGGATTGAAGGTAACTATCCCAATATGTCAGACCAATATTTCAGGTTGGTTTAAAGAATTCTCTTCAGCTTATTGGTTAATTGAAACAACATCCCATGATACTGAAAAAACACAAGGCACCCTCTGGTAAACATACAAAAAACTATGGAAAATCACCATTTTTCATGGGAAAATCCACTACAAATTGTCATTTTCAATAGCTATGTTAGTCATTACCAGAGGGTATATCCCGATGACATGATCTGGGTCTGTGAAAAATATATGGTGTCCTCGTTGGTTGAATTTTCCATATCGTTTGACGATGAAATCCCCCATATTAATCCTCAATGATCCGAAGTCTATTCCCATTCATTTATGGCTTTTTGGATGTGAGATATATTCATGATATATGTAATATACGCAATAATGTGTATATATATAATATATATATATCATTATGTATCCATATCCCCATGCTTCCCAGCCTCTTAAATTAAAGCGATTTCAGGCGCGGAAAGTTGTTTCTTTTCACCAGGATTTTGGACTTCCTGCTGCAGCGCTTTCGAGAAGCCAACGACAAGATGGATCTCCGAGAGGCGTTGAAAAAGACGGGGTCACCAGCTTACTGCTATTGAAAATGGGATTTTCATGGGATTTAATGGGATTTTCGTGGGATTTTCATGGGATTTAATGGGAGATTAATGGGATTTGATGGTATACCCTCTGATAAACTAACAGTTTGCTATTGAACATGGCCATTGAAATAGTTGATTTACCTATTAAACATGGTGATTGTCCATAGTTTTTTGTATGTTTACCAGAGGCTATATAATGTGACAACCCAATATTTTACATGTACCATTTGGGATGGTAAACATACCACCCATGAAATGGTGATGACTTGGGGATGGTTTATGACATTGGGTTTACCACATGAACAGGATTTTCCTGATAATTCCCGTTATATCTTGGAGAGGAACTCACTCCATATATAAATATCGGAACACTGCTCATGTGTTTGTCGACCGGTGATTTTTTGAAATCATGTGGAAGATTTGAAAGATGCGAAACTCTGGGTATAGTGACTATAGTGTTGGAAGAATGGCTTTGCATGGACAATGGTTGCTCCTTTGATATGATACCATGTGCCTTTCACCCCTAAAACTCATGATGCTCGTATACAATATCACTGGGACAGCTTGAATTCACCAAGGGTTTTGGGTTGTGTTTGACTGGTTTTAGTCAACCGGCAGAATTTAATGTACCCAACGAAGAAAAAGGGCACGGAGCAGATTTGAAGAGCCAGAATAAGGAACTCCCATAGCTGGAAGTGGGCTATGGGCCCATCCAACAGAACTGATAGGGGGCTGCAGTAGAGCCGCTTGTTGCAGGAGTTTGTTTCTTGGAGGGGTGGGTCAAAATTGGTAAAGAAACATTACAATGGGACACGTGCCACCCTGGGAGAATCATCTATTAAATTCTACTATAAACACTGTTACAGTCAATTGAAAGATGCGGGCATTATTCGCTTGCCCGCACTATCTCGTGCAAGGCTCAATGATAATTGTTTACTGCAGCTTCAAGTAACACTTTTATCACCGTATGGATCCATAATGGATGAGTGCACATTAACCACGACAAGGTTGCCACAAGGTTTTCCGGCTGAAGACACCAATGTGTTTCCGACAGATGGCAAATCAGCTCAGTAATATCTATCCAACAACATCATGCTGGCATCACGTTTTAATTCAACCTCACAAACAACCTGTTGCGGATGAACGTTGGCAAAAGATTGCTTGTGGTCGGTGGTCGTGTTTTTTGTCTTGGTGTAGTTTCAGATATATTATGTGAATATCAAGGAAATTAGTTCTACTGGTATTCACATATAATATATCACAATATATCTGTTGATATTCAGGATATTTCTGTTGACACCTTGTTCAAAGGTGTACCCAGTGATTGCAGATGCTTTCCGTTCCGTCCCAGGACAAGCAGGCCATGCAGCGTCTTCTGGAAGCGAGTGGCTGGACCAATGGCTGGACAGCGTTGGGAGAAACATGCAGAACCCATGTGGATTTATGTGGATTCAAGATGCTTGACATGTCATGAAAGGTATATGGATGAATTATCAATGACCTCACGTAGTGACGGAAGTCTGGAATAATGGGAATTGGATTCGGGGAATCATTCCCATGGGAGGCCTTGTTTCAGTATAATTCAGCCCCAAATATGACAGAATATGAACAAACCATGAGGTTTACTATGCGGTTTAACCAACGTTTGACCAATGAGTGGAAATGACCATGAGGTCAAGAAATCCGATGGTCGGCCCTCCAATAGGATATTTGTTTCCTTCAACCTGCCTTGGTTTACTTACAATCTTCGGGAGCCTTCAGAAGCCAGGGATTGTGAAAATGTCGGATCGACAATGGGAAGAAGAGACAGACAGACTCGCAGATGATGTTCGGAAGAATTGGAGCGTACCAGCAAAGCATCGCTATACCTTCACGGCACTTCACGGTGAAGTTTTTCATGGTTTTGATTTCAATGTTCTGTACCTCTCTTAGGGCACGTAGAATGATGTAAAATGGTTAAAGAATAAACATAGCAGGTAGGCAAAATCATGCAAAATCCATCAAAATCCAGTGGTTCATCCAGCTCCAACATGATCCAACTGCGGCCATGGCCCCAGGTGAAAAAGCCAAGGTGGAGCTCAGTTCGCTGAATGAGGTTGGCGTTTCGATCTAGATTTGCACCACTCCAGAGACAATCGAAAAAGAGGTGGCTTGAGAAGATAGTGCAGCTAACATAGTCATGAAGAAAGTCCTGTGAAAATTCAACTTGCTCTAAATTTCTCTGAAATCAGTGTGAACATGAGTCAAAATGATCTTCCATGAATTCGGTAAATTAGGTGCTCCCATGAGGAACCTGACCCAGGTAAACCACAATCAGGGTTTCACTGAGCTGGGCAAATGTTGCAGACACAACTCACCGTGGGGACGCCACGCAGCATTTCCAGCTGCGACAGGTTCGCATCTCTGTACCCTTCATCACTGCAGATGATGCTGGGACTGCCGGGAGTTTGGATCATGACATATCTCAAGGATTTTGGGAACATGGGTTAGAAGATGTTAGAAGTACCTCTCCCAAAAATTGCATTTTGATGCCCGGTCTCATACAAAGAATGATCAAACTTGTGGGTAAAAAATGGATGGCTCACCACGGAAAATCTCCAATCTTTTGCCTAACATGGACTATGAACTATACTCAAAAAGCCATTTGAAGTGGCTCCATCAGGCACCCCCTTCACTCATACCCTGGAGTTGATGATCAACCGGTCAGACACCACGGGACCCAGATGGGGTGCAAAAATATGGTGCTGAAGAAACCAGCCATTCAGCAGCTGTTCTAATGGGTGGTTTGAGAAGCGTTGGAGAAAAACCATGTTCAACAAGCCTACTTAGCATGCGATGATAATCATGAAGAGTATTTCGGGGGTTCCCTACACACTAGCCGTTTTCGCATTTTCGTGTTTTCGCTTTTTCGCGCGGAAATCCCGTGCACCACCAGGGCCGAGACACACACATTTCCTGCACAGCCTACACAAAGGGGTAGCCTCTACTCCCATTGTGTTTCCCATGACCAATCCCCCTGGACGAAAACCTTGGGGTCCACCATGACAATGTTGGAAACCTCGATCTTCTTCGCCACCCAAGGAAGATGGGCCGAAACACGTGGAGGAGGTCTTGACCCGCGAGCACTTTGAGGACTCTACCCAGGTGGAAATATGGCTCAAAATGATCAAGCCCTTAATATATGGCTAATTCATGCGGTAAACCCAATGCCATACAAACATATATATATATAATTATATATGTATATAGCAATTACCAGTACCATTTGGGGGGATGGTTTCTTCAAATCTCCATTTATATCAATAGTGATGGGACTGTTTTAAACATGAATTAGCCATCATTTGGTTTATGTAACTTAATGTAAGTGATCGAAGGGTTTTTCACCACCATACTACTAGGGTATCAGGGTATCAATCCCCGACAGACATTGAAAACCTGGGGATGATCATCGGGGGTTGTATCAAGTTTAATGCCCAAGATGTGTACAATTTTGACAGATACTGCGGACAACAAAATGGTCAAAGTGAGTGATAAAGTTTATAAATCCTCTCTTCCAGCGGATGGTTTCCTTCAGGTAATCAGCTCCAGAATGTGCTGGACAATCGTTCGGGGATTTCCTAGCCAGCCATGGAGCTGATGACACCAGAGGCTAAGCATTGGTTCTATCTCCATGATATCCCTGTTATGCCCCTTATGTCCTAGTTGTTCCTAGTGAAATCCCCATGTTTGATGAGTATATACTGAACATAACCAACTTTCTTGTATAATTTGTCAACCCCGGAGTTATAAAAGCCCGGTTGATGACTGTATTAAGGAGGTCCCCCCAAATCTTGATAAAATATCATAAATTGCTACTCAGATGGTGTACCCCTCCTAGGGGTTCATTAATTCAGGGTTGACAGTACGCATTATATCCCCGGTATATCCCCATTCTATCCTCATTATAACTGGGATATCCAGATCTTGAGGGATGTCAGGAGCTTTCAGAGGATTTGGTTCAGCGCTTAGCTGACCCAGTGCTGAAGGCCCTAAAGGACTGGACATTTTCAGGGTAGGATGGGTATGGCTGGGTACAGGCTGCAGTTCTGATAGTTACTGGCACCAGTATTGTGGCGCCCCATCATTTCCATTCGGGTTATAGGGTTATAGGGTATGAATCAGTTCTGATTGGATGATCCATCGAAATCCAAGAAGAACCAAACACAAACATAAGGACCCAGAATATATATATACCCTATGCTAAACTAACGTAACTATGGAGAATCACCATTTTTAATGGGTAAATCATGGTAAATCCACTATAAATGGCAATTTTCAATAGCTATGTTAGTTTACCAGAGGGTATATATATATACAAGTAAGCGACACAATTATTGTAATACTAATTTAGTTTTGCTTCGCCTTGGCCTTGCTGAGGGGTGCGCAAAACCTTCACAACCGATAGGGCACGACTGATACCCATGTTTTGCATGAGTCGCCTCAAGCTCTGAGAACCACCCTAATTTGCGGATGCCATAAACATGAACAAGTAATTTTGTCCGCTATTCACATATATATATATATAATATATATATATATATTAAATTATATATCTATATATATATATTATAATATATATATATAAATAAACATACATATACATACACACATTATATGATATGTTGGACATGTATGTAAAGCCTGCCAGTTGTACATACATGTGCACCAATACACACACATATATATATGTTCATATAATCATAGATTATAGCTATATGCAATTATATGCATATTATATGCAGATTATCCTAAATTGTATCTTAAAGTTTCTATGTATCATCTTGATATTAATATATCACAACTTTGATTTACAATAGATCAATAGTAACTGTGTTATATCCAGATATATGAATAGATTTTTACATCTGGACCCCAAGCGATTTGGAATTTGGGTGACCCTGAGCTCGCTGAGCTCGTAGGACTCGCGAGTGAGGCCCAGGAACCTGCACGAGGTCAGCACATCCAGTGACAATCTGAAGGACATGCATCTGTCTCAAAAATGGTGGATTCATCAAATTGGCTGTAATAATATAATATACATATATATATATAATGATATTATATGTATATATAGATTATATATATACATATAATGATATTATATATATATTATATATATAGTGATATTATATATTAATATTATATATATTATATATATATTATATATTATATATATTATATATATTATATATAGTATATGTATTATATATATTATATATATTATATATATTATATATATATTATATATTATATATATTATATATATTATATATATTATATATATTATATATTATATATATATTATATATATTATATATATTATATTTATTATACTATATATATTATATATATTATATATATTATATATTATATATATATTATATATTATATATATTATATATATTATACTATATATATTATATATATATATTATATATATTATACTATATATATTATATATATATATTATATATATTATACTATATATATATTATATATTTATTATATATATATACGTATACTACATATTATACATTATATATACATATAAACTGCTGATATACTGCTCAATAGGCATCATTCTTTGGGATTTCAAGGAGGAAACTGCTGATGAAGCATCACATTTTTGGGATACTGCGACCCTGTTTTCAGACACCCCCACATGTCGATTTGCAAAGACCATTCCGGGGCCCATCCTCCTCCGGAGAAAGCCATTTTTCGATCAAGATGGAGATTCAGCGCCTATAAGACCATCATGAAACCATTTAGGGGGTGTGCAGAATTTTAGGGGTTTGACTCATAGCCAAATTGAAAAAAATGACATTGGAGATGATAAAAGAAATGCAAACTGTTGGCACAGGTGTTGGCACGATTTGACGATGCCATCGTTTGCACATTTTTTTGTGGTGAGGGTCCTCGTTTGTGGCCCCTATGAATTATCGATTCGGTGGCCTTGAAACAGGGTTTGGGATCTATTGTACCTTGTCAATGAGGTAACTTCAGAAAGGTCAATAAAATGGGAAGCCCAACAATAAACCTACCAGGGATGGTTTATACAACTCATTGATGGTGATTTGGGGGAGGGTTTATTATCAGGTGTACCTTAGTACCACATTATCCATGCTGTGGCTGCTTGAAATTCCCGATGATTGCTACTCAAGCGCCAAGTTTCCCTCGTCAAGCCGAACTGTATGCTAATTTTAACCGGAACACAAATTCATCAGAACGTGATAGCTGATGGCATCATCTGATTGGATCATAGCCATGGCCACACTTTGATTGTTTAAATAGATGTTTGAGGACTAGATGGGTTTAGAAACAAGTATCTAACATCCTAACATCTGAAAAAGTAATCCTAAACTTCTTGGAACTTGCACTTGGATTTCCATAGATCCTACCTTAAAAGGACCTTTAGCACAACAACCGCACAGCATCATCGTGCCAGGTGATCTTGGTTGGGGGCTCAACACGCATCCCTGCTGTGCAAAACCTCGCCAGGGAGACCGACCCCGGGAGATGTTTCGGGCCCAAAACGTCCGTGAAATATGTGGATCAAGAATTTGGGGTGGTGAAAAACCATTCTGTAATGGGATATTACATGATACATATTTATGATCATTTAATGGGACATGTATATATATATATATACATATACATGATGTATATATATATATATATCTGTGTGGCATATATTTTATACTGTAACCAACTTGATATGATTTGGGTATGTTTGTAAATAACTGCTTAAGATTGCCATTTGCATAGGGAATGATGATTAAGCATCTTAGTGGAACCTATGTTCATTCTTAAACACGTGTGGGTACCAACAGCCCACAATTCTTTGGATATCTTTGGTGAATTTGAGTACAAAACCAAGAAAACACCTTGGGATTGCCACGAGATGTTTTTGTGTCCTCACCTCACCGCCGCATGGGAAAAAAGGGGATATGATGGGATCTAAAGGGCATCGAAATAAATATATATATATATACATATATATATATTGATTTATTGATTTATTTATATCTATGTATATCTATTTATATCTATTCATATCTACTTATTTCTATTTATTTCTATTCATTCATTTATTTATATTTATGTTTATTTATTCATTTATTGATTTATTTAATATCTAAGTGTCTCTAAAATCCCAGTAATGTCCCATTGTTCCCACCAGGATTTCTGCTTACCCAGCGCTTCTCGCACCTTGTAGATGGTCCGTAGGAGCTGACCGCTTTCAAACCCATCAACATGTCCATCAGCGCTGATGAGGCCCGCGGTGTATTTGTTGATGGTGAAACGTAAAATGGAGTGGTTGATGACGAGCCAAAAAATATGCCCATATTCTAGATTCTCATATATAAGTTAAGGAATATATATATTGTTTTACATATATATATATATATATGTATGTGTCAACAGTCAAGATCGGTGTTTTTTAGAAGGGCTTGAATTTTAGTCAAACTGACAACATTTGACAATAGTTTGTTTCAAAGATGTGGAGGGTCTAACATGAGCAGCAAGCATTCACCTACTGGATGTCACTGTGTTAGGACAGAAAAACACGCGCGAAATCACCAGCGTGCAGATCTTTGAAACGGAACTCAGGAAGTTCCGCAGAAATCTTCCCGGATTTGGATTTGCCATAGGTACGTCTTCATGTTCCCTCGTTTTTTCTCTGCCCCATGTGGCGAGGTGGTGGCGTTGGGCGCCTCGGTTCAGGCCGCAATGATTAGCGGCGAGGCCGGCAACACAGGGGGAATATGACCCATGGAAATAGATGAGATATGTGACAATTACCTATGAAAAATGATGATGTACCTATGAAAAATGAGGATTTGCCTATGAAAAATGATGATGTACCTATGAAAAATGATGATTGACCTATGAACAATTGGGATTTTCTGGATGTATGTGACATGACCAGAGGGTAAATGTCCTGTTTGGGGGAATTTGTTTCACATCCTTTGAGAAGATATTTGTTGGAGATTATATTATATTATATTCCCTTTTTTGTTTGGTGATGTGAAAAAAATAGGATATTTACCGACTAAATGACTAGGGGACGTATCGCAGCTTTGAAGTTGATGACTAGCCCCAAACTTGCAAATTGCACCACATTCCTGTGGTGAAGTCATCTTCTCTAGCTCATCCATCCTCCTTCAATCGGCCCACAAGGCAAATAGATTGTAATATAACATAATATCATATAATTTATGTAATATAACATAATACTGGGGTGCATTTAACATAGTCAAATAGTCATCACCTATTTTCAGCAATCTATAATAAGGATTAGATCACATACTAAAACCAAGCGCTCGGTAGTGCACTGCTAAGGTTGGATCATACTAAAACCCAACAATTGGTAGGGGCTGTTTTGAGGACCAAAAAGAAACAATCGGTAGGGCTCCTGGCTGTTCAAAGGACTTAAATAAAATCAACCATCGGTCTGTTTTAAGGATTGTAACAATACTAAAACCCAACAATCGGTAGCGCTCCCGACTGTTTTAAAAGGACTAAAAACAAACAATCGGTAGCGCTCCCGACTGTTTGAAGGACTGAAAACAAACAATCGGTAGCGCTCCCAACTGTTTTAAGGACTAAAAACAATCAATCGGTAGCGCTCCCGACTGTTTTAAGGACTAGAAACAAACAATCGGTAGCGCTCCCGACTGTTTTAAAGACTAAAAACAAACAATCGGTAGCGCTCCCGACTGTTTTAAGCACTAAAAACAAACAATCGGTAGCGCTCCCGACTGTTTTAAAGACTAAAAACAAACAATCGGTAGCGCTCCCGACTGTTTTAAGAATTGAAAAAATAAATAAATGTAAAATCAGCATCATGCTGTTAAGATAGTCACCTTGGCCAGGGGGGGGTCTGTCAGACCCCCCTCTGGCCAAGGTCGGTAGCGCTCCCGACCTTGGCCAGCCTCCCCCCTGCGTAGTATGGGGCATGCCTTTTGACCTTGGCCAGCCCAAAATAGTGAAAATTACAAGTGCATTTAAGATAATAAAGGGGAGGCTAGCCAACATCGGTAGCGCTCCCGACCTTGGCCAGAGGGGGGTCTGACAGACCCCCCCGGGCCAAGGTGATTATCTTAACAGCATGATGCTGATTTTCATTTGTATTTGTTTTTTTTCAATTCTTAAAACAGTCGGGAGCGCTACCGATTGTTTGTTTTAGTCCTTAAAACAGTCGGGAACGCTACCGATTGTTTGTTTTTAGATTTTTTAGTCTCTAAAACAGTCGGGAGCGCTACCGATTGTTTGTTTTTAGTCTTTAAAACAGTCGGGAGCGCTACCGATTAAAACAGTCGGGAGCGCTACCGATTGATTGTTTTTAGTCCTTAAAACAGTTGGGAGCGCTACCGATTGTTTGTTTTCAGTCCTTCAAACAGTCGGGAGTGCTACCGATTGTTTGTTTTTAGTCCTTTTAAAACAGTCGGGAGCGCTACCGATTGTTGGGTTTTAGTATTGTTACAATCCTTAAAACAGACCGATGGTTGATTTTATTTAAGTCCTTTGAACAGCCAGGAGCCCTACCGATTGTTTCTTTTTGGTCCTCAAAACAGCCCCTATACCAATTGTTGGGTTTTAGTATGATCCAACCTTAGCAGTGCACTACCGAGCGCTTGGTTTTAGTATGTGATCTAATCCTTATTATAGATTGCTGAAAATAGGTGATGACTATTTGACTATGTTAAATGCACCCCAGAATATCATATAATTTATCAATATCATATCATAGAATATAATACATATGTTTCTTTAATGTGTATGCAAAATTCACACCCGCACTTGTTCATATAATTTCCCCATATGTCTTTAAACATGTCCATCTTCCCGCCAGGTGAAGGACATCATGCTGATCGACGTGACACCTCTCACGCTGGGCGTGGAAACGGAGGGCGGGGTCTTCAGCGAGGTGCTGCCGCGTGGCAGCGCGGTACCCTGGCAGGCGCGGGAATGGATGCCGATGGGGAGAGCGGAGATTTGTTGGATTTACCAGCAAAATGCAAGAGATAGAGCTGGGTTCTAGTGACCTGATGTCGTGACCGAACCCTGGAATCATGGTTGGAGTGCGTGAATTATCCCAAGAAGAAGTCCTATTTCGGGTTGGTGAATTATTATGATTCACCCAGATTAAGAACGGATAGGGTTTAAGCATGAAAATTAGATGCTCAAAATATAGGGAAGACCCTTCTTAACTATTTCATAGACCAATTTAAGGGAATTGTTTATGGATTTTGCCATCAAAACTTTGGAACGAATGGACAGTGGTTGGTTGCATCATGTGCAAGTAAAGTCAATCCTGGATTGACAAGCCCCCACTGTCAACTGGGGGTGCCCCCCAAAATGGTAATGAACTATTCTCCTAAAATTGGTACTGATGGCTATGGATCAATACCTATTAATACCATTTTTAGGGGGATGAACATCCATAAATCCCAGCTATTTTGATGTTCACCAGGGGGATAGGGTTTTGACACATCCCCTGGTATCCCCCTCTTAGTGATCTGAGGTGGGTTATGAAACTTTTACCACCAAAATGAGGGAACTGTTGAACACTGGGTCAACAGTCAAGGCCCAGCGGGGACCAGAGATTCTTGTGATTCTTGGGACCAGTTTTTTGGTTCATGTACAAGTAGACCCATGTTTGTTTGGAATCTAGACTTTGGTAATCTAGGGCAGCAATGACAGATGCAAAGACTTTGATTGTGATTTTGATATTTAGTGTGAAACACCTAGAAATTGTATATGGTTCCTGGCCGCAGTCGCAATCGCCTGATTACACATAGAGTACCTAGATATATTGCACAATGGGAACCGGGCCTTGGCTGCTTTTGCCTTTGGTTGGGTACAGGCTATCCATGCTGACAGTGTCGTTGTATATGCGATGGTTGTATATGACGTCAGGGTTTGCATCATTGCTTGTTTCTCCATTTGAAAACAAGTTCCTTCCATCAGCAAGCCCCTCACCTCACTACCACGGACAAAAAAAACAAGCTGCAACTCTCCAATGAAACCGCCTTGGATGTGAAGTCGCGGATCTTGGAATTCAGACTTAGTTATTGAAAACTAATTCACCTAACATGATCTAACTATTCTTCACTGTAAAAGAACCCTGCAGTTGCCCTTCTCACAACCATTTGTTGCAGTGAAACATAGGCCAAGAGGATCTTCACAACCTCGGCTGATGCTCAAGATGCTATTGAGGCGAGATATGCTGAAGTGGCCACTTTTAGGGGTTCTATATCTCTGAAATCCTGATGGATTTAGGGATGATATCTATTCAAAGAATGGTAAACAGACAACAGAACGATCATGGTATCACGAAATACCCTCTGGTAAACCTCACATAACTATGGAAAATCACAATAATGTTTAATGGGAAAATCCAATATAAATGGTCATGTTCAATAGCTATGTTACCAGAGGGTAGTTGGTATGTCTAGAGAGTTCTGCCGGGCACGCCCAGAACCATGGATCTTGATGGGGCTTATATCCTAGTTTGTGAGGCTACAGTTCCACTAATACGTGGATGATATTTCACCATGGTTGTAGGGGCTCCAGACCTCTTGTTGAGGTTAGAATCCCATAGTTAGTAAGTTATATATGGTCATTAAATTATCATTAATAACCCCAACTGCCAGTTATACAGTTATACCATGTTATACCTATAGTTTTTAAGTTTTCCCCATGGTTGATGCTATGGTTTCTGATTGGCTTTACCACTTGTGTCTCCACGTTCGAATCCCAGCTACCGAGACTCTACCGTTCGAATCTCCGTTTTAGTCGGGATCCAGGTGGTGGTCCTACAGGGGGAACGGCCACTGGCCAAAGACAACAAGAAGCTGGGGATGTTTCGCTTGGATGACATCCCCGCGGCTCCCAAAGGCTGCAGTGGGTCGGTGCTCCGATTTGATGCTGGCATTTTTGAGGGTTGAAAAATGGTGGTACCCCGGTACCTAGCTGGATGGTTGATAGTGGAACATCCTATTAAAATAGATGATTTGGGGATACAGTATACCCCCATTTCAGGAAACCTCCATATCAGTTTGAAGGTTTTAAGAGGTCTCTCAAGTTTTGCAAGTCTGGCGAGTCGAGCGGTACGGAAAGTGGTGATGATTTCAAAAGAGTGTCACTCCAAACATCTCCAAACACTCCACGACCACAAACTGCTCCGAGAGGACTTATGGGCTTGTTCAAAAATAGGGTATACCATGATCCACCCCAAATCCATCCAAATCTGAGGTTAATCATGATCAACCAGTAAAGCAAGGGTGCCCATCTTTAGACACATCCCGAAGAATTTTCTTGCGCCAGTTTTCGTAGGTTTTTGTTGCGCACTGTTCCACCCAAGTGGCAGGTGTTCCAAAGATTGAAGTCACCTTTGACATCAACGTGGAGGCAAGCGTGGTTACCTGGTTCGCCATGAACGTGGAACGCCAATGCCAAAATATGGATAGACGTGGAAGAAAGGTATGCGGTGTAATCTCTAGAACTGCGGCAATGTTGCCCCACTAATTTCGATTTTATATTACCAGCCAGTTTACGTCCCTATCTAGCAGCATTTGGAATCCATATCATTGATGTGTTGTTTCAGAGCACGCAATCGACGACCTCAACTTATCAGAATGCTGACAGCTGAATTGATGTTGATTCTGTAAGACAATGGCGCTCAGGAAGTGTTCAAAATTACATCATTAACTGATGTAGATAGATTCAAATAGATGATAGAATACATAGAATCTCATGGAATCCTCCACCTGTTCAACAATTGTTTCTTGGTTGATGTTGCTCAGCCTCTTCAAACGTTGTTGACACCGGATTCCTTTGATCACCGTGTGAATCGCGATGTTCCTCGTTTCGGAAAAGCCGCGCACCAGGGGATTTTGACGGTGTCGGCCAAAGATTGGGGCACGAGCCAAGAGAAATCCATTCGGATCGAGGAGACTGGGACATCCGGGACGGGACTGCGTCGGCACGTGGGTGAATGGAATTGGGTTCAGAGAAATATTCGATAAGAGACAGACAACAGAATATATATATATATATGTTTATGTAGAAGAATGATATAGTGATGAAGAATGATTATATTTTTGTTAGCCGGAGAATCTTTGACAAGTGACGTAATCAAATTACAGGCTGAGTCATAGTCAGAGTATTAGCCTTAGATCATCCCAATGGCGACAAGTTCTCCGCAATAATATATATATGTGTGTGTGTATCGTGTAGATGATATATCATATATAATCGATTATACACAAATAATAATGTCAAATAATACAAAAACACTTATATATATATAATCGATATTTTTCACACCTAACAAATATACTGTATTTCCAGGATGGTTGCATGATATGTTCCAACTGTGATTTCCATGTTTTCCAACTTGTGATGCTCGCCATGGGCGGCCGACGCGGCTGGGAGCAGCATCCATGGTGGCTGGTCAAAAATGGTGGATGTTGGTTCAGTCGGAGACATGGGAGTTTCTTACAATGGAAGACCCCAACACCATGGGTTTCAACACTAAAAATGGTTTCATAGAACTGTAATTTAAGGAGGATTTGTGGGGGCCCTTTTTAGGAGACCTTCAAATGGTACTGTGGGTATTTGTTTCTTGATTATCAATACTGTTCAATTGAGTTAGATCTTCAAAATAGTGATATTTCCGAATATCTCAATGAAGTGTGCAGTGCATGTTCATTTTGGAGTATTTAAACCCAAGGAATTTTACTTGTTGATTTTTCATGATGCATATGACCCTGTAGGAATATGGAAAATCTGAATTTATGATTGGAAACACAATTTGATAAATCTTGTGTGTTTTTTTCCGATTCAAGAAGAGGAGCAGGACTAGAGCAACTCAATCCTCGGCTTGCGGTTGAACATGGAGCCAGAGAGGGCCATGGCACCTCTAATCCCATCGATGATGGATGATGGATGATGGTGGATCGTGAAGACGTTTGAAGATATTGGATCAGATGGCATTTAGATGGCATTTAGATGGCAGTTTGTCAGTTGGATCCATTGCTGAACATCGATGTGTAGGATACCCTGCAGCTTTGGTGCCTGGGTGTTGGAGCAGGCCAAATGGGTCTCAAAATAGCGTAGAAAAACGTCCATTGAACAATTCCAAGAGTTCCATTCCTGGCCAACATCATGGAAAGATGATTACGCCATGGCCAGGGGGTAATTCCCCAAAACCACCTCGCTTCAGGCTGTTTGCGATGATGACCAGCGTCAAATCTCGTTGTTTTTTCAGCATTTACCAGATGTTTTTTGGTCACATCAAATCACATCAAGTCAAATGAAATTGATTGTGCCTCATGTCTATCCTTGTTCCATTTTATTCCTATCAATTATAAACAATAATGTGGGTAAAACAATAATAAACCACCGATTTGGGAATGGTTTATACAACCCATTAAGAAAAATGGTGATTTGGGGGATGGTCTATTTTTGTTTTACCCACATTAAGATTAAACAGTTTTTTTCTGTGCCAAGGTACGGCTATGGCTTGCCCTATGTCAGTTGGTCTCTGCCGTCTCTGCGAACTGCGGATCTCTCTACGAAAGTCGGGCAGCGATGTGGCGATCCATGTCCCAGGCCAGAAAATTGTGGTGTCTATCTATCTACCTGTTTGTGTTTGTAATCTATCTATCTATAGAGATTTACTGCTATTATATAGGTATATTTATTGCTATCTATGTCTATCTACCTGATTAATATTCTATGTCTATCTATAGGCATTTGGGGTACCCCCATATGTGGAAAATGGATGATTTGGGGATACCCCTATTTCAGGAAACCCACATTTATTGCTGTTCATATAATGCGATTTAGCTATCTAGCTATGTATCTTTCTATCCCAGTTAGGTTGGTGAAGTTCCACACGTATGCACCATATTCTTGTGTACCATCCAAGTTAAAACGGTGATCCTGTAGTTGCTGATCGCATAGTAGGAATGATTCAAGTTTTTGGGCACCCATCACTCATTACCTTGGAAGAACATGCAAGACTTGCTGCGTTTTGTATTGAGGTTTCAAAGAGGCCATGGGTTGGTTTATGGACAAAATTAGTGGAAACCGTGGTTTTTAAAACCTCAGTCCCAAGAAAAGGGGGTCCTGTAATCTTCCCTTCTGAGAGGCTACAGTACAAGATTGGCCTTTGTCCAAGAAGAATGTGTCCAAATGATGCATCTCCAAGCGGTGAAATCACTACTGTATGCACTTGTGGTATCTTGTTGTATGTCTTGGTGCCAGGGGTGTCATGATTGGGATCCAAAATCCAGGGAGTCCCGCCTTTTCCTAACCAGCCGGCATGGTGTGCTTCTTTTTCTAGGCCATGTCTGTCTACACCCCAGTGAAGCATCGCCCGGAGTGGTATTGGAAGGAGATCTTTGAAAGGCGTCAGATCGAGCCTCCCGGCCATTCCGGCTATGAGGACCCAAGATCTGTGGCGTGCTTTGAAAAGGAAATGGAGAGAGGGCAAATTTTGGTGTCAAAGACATGTCTCCCGAAAATGTCTTCCAAATTTTGGCGTATCAGCAATTAGGGGCTTACTACTCTGGGCTTGTCAACTAGGTAGTAATGAATCTGATTCGTGGTTTCAAAATGTTTCAATGTGCTTCAACTATTTTGAATTGTCCATCTCAACAACCGGAACTGATTTTCCCCCCACTTCAGGGTATACTGTATATAGCAACCCCAAAAAAAGATAAGTTATGTAGCTGACATTAGCTGACTACTTATCTTTGGAATTTTCTCACTTCTATCCTTTTTTGGGGGGTTGAAGCCGTTGAAGCCCCCCATGGCTTTCCGGCCAGGAGACCTGGTTGGATTTACTCTTCGGGCAGGCCCACGATGAAAGCCTGGCATGCCAGGTGAATGAGGGCCGCCACTGGGACCCTTGCCGCGTTGTGGGGGGATCGGGGGGATCGGGGTAGATTTCACCTACCAAAAAAGCAAAGGGATATCGAAAAGAGTCTAAAACCCATTAAAATCCTATACTAAAGAAGTGTGATGAATGAATTGTTGATCGTTTTTTGGGCTGGCTAGACAGTAAACCTTGAGGAAGTTAAGTTATAGATTTTTTTGGTTCAAGGCCCCAATATATATATATATATTTACATTGCTTCAATGTACGTATATAGATACACACACGCACTAGCCAACTAAAAGCAATGCAGGGTATCCAAGATTGTCGATGATTTGGCTGCGTCCAATGCCGTATCACCCAACTGCTGGCCATTAAAATGGGGAAGTGATTCTAAGCGTTTTCATTTGTTGGGCAAAGCCAAATTGGTAAGGTGTCATCTGGATGTGGGTCAAAATGGAAGACCTAGGGGACCACAGATGTTAGTCTAGTCTAGTTTACTATTAACCATCCAATTATTGGGGTACCTAATTTTGACCCATACCCATCTAGAGTTTGGCAATGGTTGCCTTCACTTTCCTTGAAGGAAGTGATTGGGCATGATTGAGCGAAATATTTGGTCATGGACTTTGGGTGACCAAGCTATAATCTAAGGAACTCGAACTTGACGTGCAAAAGCTCTATGACGCAGTTCGTATTTCTGACAGACCTTCTTTCATGAAGCTTTGCATGCATTTGCTTTTCTGCTTTCACCATTCTCCTCCCGTGCCGGCGATTATCTGATTATCCTCAATACCCTTACTGTAATGGGTTTGTGCTGAATCAATGAGTGGATACTGCCAAACTCTGACCCAAAGACTATGACCCAAAAACACCACGTCACGAGGACTAAGGGAATCACGAGACATGTGTGTTGTGATTCTCCGATTCAATAAGAATGAGCTCTCGCACACGTGTATAATCGTGTATACATACATTCAAAACCATACAAATAGATATACAGTATGGAATATTATATTACAATATATTTTTACGGCCAGACGCCTTGTGTTGCCCGGAGATTTACAGGGACGTTCCCGGCATGTTGGTGATGATGATGATGATGATGATGATTGAAGGTCTTCAATGGATGTAAGAGGTTAACGGAGTTGGGAGAATTAAACCCTTATTGAAGATCTTCAATGAATGTAAGAGTTTAACGGGGGTGGGAGAATTAAACCCTTATTGAAGAATCTTCAATGAATGTAGAAGTTTAACGGGGGTGGGAGAATTAAACCCTTATTGAAGAATCTTCAATGAATGTAGAAGTTTAACGGGGGTGGGAGAATTTATATGAGATGTATAGTGTGAACAAAAAATCTTTGTAATTTACGCTATTCTGGGCTTGGGCAACACACGGTGTCTGTGGGTATTTTTACCAGTACTGCCAGGCCGTACCGCGGAAGTTTCGATAACTATTTAAAGAACAAAGGAACAACCATGTTCACGATTGCTCACAACTTCTCATGATTTTCCACGCACCTTCTGGGTCTTAGATGGTCTTAGGGTATTTTATGGATCCTACTCACGAAAACTCGCAAAAACTCACCCTTTCGATATCTCACCACAATGGGACCTTTGGATTGCTGTCAGGGCCTTTTGGGGGCCGAATTTTCCAACATAACATAACCCAACTTTTTTGTTTTTAGTCCAATAGAATAGTTCCCCAAACAGTGTGGCCACACTGAGGGGTTCTTACCGTTTCAGTTAAGGCCCGGTGTTAAATTGAGGTGGTATCATCTGTGTCCGGCCAATTCCCTGCAAATTTTCACACAAAATGGCTCTTGTGAAATGTTCATGTGTATTTCGACCGCGCAGGCTCCCGCAAAACGAGACATCTCATACAGAATTTTACCAAAGGACCTCTTTGAGGGAGCTTGTACAGAGATCTTGCTAAGAGACCTCTTACGGAGATCTTGTGAATAGATCTTTGCTAAGAGACCCCTTACAGAGATCTTGCTAAGCGGTCTCTTACATAAACGTTGCCAAGCATGCTTTTATAGAGAGCGTGTACAGAGATCTCATAAAGAGATCTTGCCGAGATTTTTCTTATAGATATCTTGTCCAGAGGTCTTGCCAAGAGACATCTTTAAAGAGATCTGGGCAGAGAGAGCTTTTTGAGATCTTGTTCTGAGATCTTGCCAGGAGGCCTCTTATAGAGATCTTGTACAGAGACCTGGTGAAGAGAGCAGCGATCTTGCTCAGGGATCTTTTATATTCTTATAGGGAGCTTGAACAGAGACCTTACTTTGAGGTCCCTGACAGAGATCTTGTGTGGAAATTTTCTTCTAGAGAGATCTCTTCAAGTGTCTTGCCAAGAGACCTCTTATAGAGATCTTGTACAGAGACATTGCATAGGGAGATGTTGCAGAGATCTTGCCAAGCGGTCTCTTAAATAAATGTTGCCAAGAAAGCTTTTATAGAGAGCTTGTACAAAGATCTCATAAAGAGATCTTGCCGAGATATCTCTCATAGATATCTTGTCCAAAGGTCTTGCCAAGAGACCTCTTAAAGAGATCTGGGCAGAGAGAGCTCTTATAGAGATCTTGTACAGAGATCTTGCCAGGAGACCTCTTATGGAGATCTTGTGCAGAGACCTGGTGTCGAGAGCATAGCTCTTCCTCCGAGATTATTTCTAGATAGCTTGAACAGAGATCTTCCTTTGAGATCCCTTACAAGGATCTTCTGTGGAGATCCCCAATAGGCACCTTGTAAAGATAGCCTTACACAGGGATCTTGCACAGCAGCTTCTACAGAGAACCTCTTCATACAGAGATCTTCACAAAGGGCGCTTGCAGAATCTGACCTGGTATCTTTTTTTCCCACTCTTCGGGTCGCTCTTGTCCTGCTAGCTTGCAGCCACTGATGATTATAGGTCCTTTCCACCTTCCCCTTTAGAATCCTTTTGATTCCACCTTCCACTGTGAAAGATACGCTGGCTGAACACAGCTCCGTCTACGTGCCAGCACCAGAGGCGACGCGAGTCGTGGAGCTTCTGCTTGCTTTAGGACAGGTGCCTCAGGATAGCTGTAGCGAGTTCAAGCGGGTCTGTTCTGAACATGACCCATGTCCGCGGCATCGCGACAAGCCAGCCACCGTTTGACCTTCTGCTGCCGCCGCCAGCTGACCAGCAGCTGCCGCGGCATCGCGCACTGCCACTCACACTGATGCGCCTCTTTGGGAATAAAAAACTGCGGCTGCATAGCTCCGTTCCGTGACAACACATGAAAACCCCACTGGATTCATGTCTCCTCTTCTGTTTCTCCTCCCTTGACATTACCCTGCATGTCCTTAAGCACACTGTTTGGGGTCTCTTGCCGGGAGAATATTAAAGAAATTTAAAGAGTACATGTACCTTCTGGGGCCACGTCTACGGATGTAGCTATGTCCAATAGATTTTCATGGCAAATCTAAAGCATGAAATCTTGTTTTTGTATACGCATAAATTTTCATAATTTATGTAATTACATCAGATTCTACGGTATATTAATATCGCAATTGATTTTTACATATCAAAAATCCATCCACCCCTAGGGCCCTAGGATCCGTGCCGCAAATGCTTTCAACATCGCCCTCCCGACGCAGCGTTCCGAGCTGCCGCAGCACTTGCGGCTCTGCCTCTGCGTCCCCGCGACGTGCACGGCGGAGGAGGTGGTCGAGACGGTCTTTGCGGCGCAGTTCGCCGTGGAGTTCATGGGGGACGAGCCAAAGAGCGCCTGGATTTTCTATGAAAAATGATGAAAATTGAGGATCTAGTTCTGGAAAAATAGGAGTTAGATGACTAAATGATCTAAGTGCGATATGATGGAATTTCGATGAATTTAGCACGAAATGAGAATGATTTAGCCCTGAGAAAAATGTCATGAGGCTATAGTCTTGTTGGGGATATTTCATGACGTATATAATGGGATATGTATATATATATGATATATATATATATATATGGTGTATATATATATGGTGTATATATATATACACTATATATATATATTTATATTATACATATCCAAACATGATTCATGATGGGATGATGGATGATGGGTGTGTCCCTAAATTGTTGATAGCCAAAAACACAATTTTAGTGGCAGAATTTCTGAGTTGAATAGTTGTTGAGTTTGAAGTACCATGGATGATGCGTGTTGAGATTGTCAATTCACACAAATCTACAGATCAATGGCATTTCCAATATGAAGGAGCGCCTGGTTGTTAGATTTCAAATTGAACAACATCAGCATCACCAAAACATCACCTTGAAGATGACAAGACCGTCTCAGGATGATGTGTAAAACCCCCATTCCATGGGATGTTTGACAAACCCGTTTAGCACGGAATGATTCTATGTCCATTATATGTCCTTGCTTTGGGGTTGAAATGGAGGATGGTGCATGTCCATTCCATGTACAATCTTTTGAGTTCAAATTGCTCAAACATCGCGTGAAAATAGTGCTGAAAAATGAAATAGTCGGCCGCCCCACGAAATGGTGGTGTTGCTGGAGGAAATACTTGGGAAACCCTGTGTGAGGGAGGCTTATGTTGTCTCCTTTGCTTTTTCGGCAGGGGTTCCTCCTACAATGAGTTCGACTTGGAACAATAGTAAATGTTTGCTCTCATGTTCATGTGCCAAACTGCCAAAAGTAGGGAGGGGGTGTCGCTCATTTGGCTATGGGTCAAAACGTACAATACCACATTGGGGGGATGAACATCAACAAATCCCAGCTATTGATGTGAACAGAAGGGGATTCCATGGTTTTTGACCCAGACCCATTTGAGCACCTAGACTTTGTTGAGCACCTGATGATTCTGGAAACTTCACCTCAGGCATGCTGAATGGCAAAAGCTTTCGAGATGTGGTGGAAATCTCTGAGTTGAGGGCATCATGGCAGCCATGATGATGCCATGATGTTGAAGACCAACATGTTTCTGACTGGTTTTGGGAAAATCATGGAACATCGTAAATACCGGTATTTCATCATCGCACGGATCACCCTGCGGCCCAGTCTTTTAGGTTTAGCGGGATAGGCGTGGGTGGAGAGAAGTTGAGGACTGGTCAGCCATCAATCTTGACTTTGTGATTGGCGGAGTTGACAGCTGCGGGACCGCCTCCCTACACCTGAATTTGGAGAAGCACTCAGAATCTGGACCGTCAACGGATGGCAGGACTCTTTACCGAGGCATTGATCATAGCATGTCGTAGCAATAGGGCATCATAGGGCCGTGATTTTTAAGGTTCAACAGGTTGACTTAAGGACATCGTCAGAAAACCCAATGGATTTCACTCACCAAATCATCAACATGGAAAAACAGTTATGGTTTTTCTATCATGTTCCCTTGATCCTTCGACCACTTCAGAGTTAGGTGGGACGGGTTGGGGCTTCAGGGGTCACTCAGGAAGTCGCTTTCCTGACCTCCGATGTTGACTACTTCTTCACCAATAAATTGGCACACCGGGTCTTGCCTCTGAAGGCACAGGTGGAGCCTGGGCGAAAGTATTCCCGGAAAGTTTGGTTTGGTGTGGTGATTTTTTGGGGGATACACGGAGAATCATAGGCGGGAAATGGCGGGAATATGGTACCCAGCTGAAGTCAACCTGTTTACATGGTATCTTAGGTTCGTGAGTATGTGGCATGATACTGGACGCCGCTTGGTAAATTTTTGATCCTTCCCAGGGCTCACAGATCTTCAGTTGCCAAGGACGAGTACAATGCTTTAGTGCTGGCTGCCAGGGAGGCAAAAGAGAGACTGACAGGCGTTACTCCTCTGGTAGGCGCCTGTGTTCCAGCTCTGTTTAGTACTGCCTTGGCGCGAATCAAAATGGCTTTGATTCCGAACTTGACGCTGGGCGAATTTCATGGACGAGATGGTGCATGGACATGCATGGACCATTTTGGTACTTGAAAATGCCGTTGGCTAAATTGGTTGAATGGTTTGCTGTGGATGTATCTACAGTTGGACTGGTTTATAAACCAAGTTCTAACTGGGGGGTGCCATGGTGTACCAATCCACTCGTGTGTCTGGAATGAATGACACGATGAAACCTTGACCATGCTTTGTAGGAGAGAACTGTCCATATGTGCTATGGTCAAAAGATGGATCATGTTTTTTGCATTTACACCTCCGCACTTTTCTACATATCCATGTGTGGATTTCCATTATGGGATGGATGACCACAAACCATATACCATGTTTTGACCATGGCACATTCTGACCATGGCACTTATGGACTGGTTGAGGTGATATACTTTCGGTGTGCTATGGCTTGTGCACGGTGGTTTCAACTATGTTGTTCTGTCTGTCCCTGCTTAAAGCGAGCCCCAAAGTGCTAAGCAAATATGTGTTTTGAATTGGTGCCTCAAGCACCAACATGTCAGACTTCAACAGATGTGATCGTGAAATCCTGATTGTTGGTTCTACCTAGTACCAACAAGTGGACCCATGTGGATTAGAACTAACCAATAGTGACCAGGTTTACGAATGTTTAGACGTACTAATTCTGGAGGATTCCGAGGATTCCCCATTGACACAGCCCATCAAGTTTATTCCCCTGCGCCTGGTGAGGAAACTGGTGATGATTCTTTGCGATCCTCTCGGGCGATTGGAGAAGCTAGCAATGAACAGTGTGTTTTTCAGATGTTGATGCAAATGGTGGGATTATTGGATGTTATTTGGTCATTTGGTTTGTACTCAGAATCCAATTTTCTTGGGGTAGCCAAGTTTGACCCATACCAATATTGCCAATATCTGACGATAATTAATTGAATTTGTTGGGCCATGGTCAGATGCTTGATGGTGATGATCATTTCTTTAAACGGATGAACTTTCAGCTGACGACTGAAGTGTGGTCATTGCTTATTACATTGTCTTTGCTGGTAAGTAAGCTCTCGTTGTACACGGGGATATATTGATATAATATGTTTTTTTGCGGCTGCGGGATTTCTAAGATTGACCATGTATTGGTTCATCATGATTTGTTTGCTGTGTGGTTTTGTTTTGATTCAATCACAATTCTTTTTGGTTGCCTTCTTGAGCTGGAAGAAAAGTGGTTTTACCAGCCATACATTTACCATATGTTTACCATGCGTATATTTACCATTTATTTACCATCTAGTTAGATATGTATATATTATAATTTTATATACATCTATACATATTGTTAATATATATATATACATCTATACATATTGCATATATATATATATCAACTTCAACCACTGATATAAGACATTGCCTTAAAAGCTTGGCTTAGTCACGTCTCAGGAAGGGCTTCATGCACCATCACCTGTGCTTCGCAGATCTGGAAGATGCGCAACGCCAGGGCCTTGCGGCGCGGGCCTCGCGGCATGGCAGCTGCTATGAGACTCGGATGTTTTTTTGACCCAAGGAGCCTCTGGTAATTTAACATTGCTATGGAAAATGGCCCATTCTGGGTAAATTACAACAACCTCACTGCGACCTCACTCGAATCATGGTTAGTAAGGGGAATCATCCCCAAAATTGCCCAAAATAGCCTTATTTCAGATTAGTGAATTATCATAATTTGCCCAGTCCATTTATAGTTGATGTATCTATAATGAAAAGTTGGGATTTTCCATAGCAAACTGTTAGTTTACTAGGTTACTACATATGGATACATATGGTAGCCATAAGAACAAACATCTTGCCCCGTATGTTGCGTACGTTTCGCCACTTTCATGGGAACTTCGTAACTTGGAGGACTTGGAGGGTGGTCAGATTAATATAGTTAGATCATGGATAATTGCGTATATAATCGAATGGGACGTGACGGGATATGATGGGGATATAATCGAAGGAAGATTAGAAGTCAAACTTCCGACAACATGGACAGATGAAAAGCAGAGATGGGAAGAGTCAGAGAGAAGAGAAGAGTAGAAGAGAGAAGATCAGAGAAGAGAAAGAGTCAGAAGAAAGAAGATGCAGATGCGCATTTGTGGCTCCGGAGGGTCGAAAAGTAGGCTCGCTAAAGCGGCGGGTGCGGAGCCATCTGGCCAGATGAGAGATGAAAAATTGCACGCCGTTGTGGCGCGAAGCACATTTCGAAGTCAAAATGTACGAAACACCTCAAGTGAGCGTTCGTGGGTCACGCATTTTCCCCGTGTCTTTGTGAAATAGTTGCTGGATTCTTTGTTGGATTCCAAAGTGTATTTTTGCTGAAGCCCAAAGGCAACCATGCAACTCCGACCGTTTGGGAACTTCTATGCTCGTCTCCTGTAGTTTCTGAAACAACAACAACGACAACGACAACGACAACGACAACGACAACGACAACGACAACGACGACAACAACGACAACAACGACAACAACGACAACAACGACAACAACGACAACAACGACAACAACGACAACACCGACAACACCGACAACAACGACAACAACGACAACAACGACAACAACGACAACAACGACAACAACGACAACAACGACAACAACGACAACAACGACAACAACGACAACAACGACGACAACGACAGCGACAGCGACAGCGACAGCGACAGCGACAGCGACAACGACAACGACAACGACCACAACGACAACAGCAACAGCAACAGCAGCAGCAGCAGCAACAGCAACAGCAACAGCAACCCAACTCCTGGTGTCCTGGGTCATCCCAACCAGGTGCCTCTGGGTGCACACTCCTTCAAAAAACACGCCTCCAACCATCCGTCGGTCCATCAGTGGATTCGCTCTGCCATCCGTGATTCACAACAACCAGCCTCTCCTATAGGTTTCCTATTTCTGAAGCTTCCGCCACCGCCTTGCGCGGTACTACTGGTAATGGGTGTATAATGGTGCTGACATGGGTTTATAAGGGGGATAGCATGGGGATACAATGGAAATATCATGCGGGCATCATGGGGATAGCATCGGGACATGATTAACCACCGATATATCATATTTGGTGATTTGTCTACCATATTTCTGGGAAGATTGGGGGTGGATGATCCTTGCACAATTACCACATCAAATGAATCTGTTCCAACCTGGATGATGTTTTCCATATCCATCTGGTGCAACGAGGACGGGCTGAATTTCACATAGCCATGGAAAATTACCCATGAAAGTAGATGATTTACCTATGAATTCCATTTACCAGAAAGTATGTGGATCATCCCTGCTCATTTTCCACACTAAAACTGCCGCCATGGGACCCCGCATGCTTCTAAAAGACTGGTACAAGTCACGGTGGTGTCGTAGTTATGTAGTTGTTCATGTTGATACCTGGGATGATTCGATACAACCCACCAGTTCCATGGATAGATTAGAACTGCAAGAACGATCCACCAGTTGGTTTGTTTCCCAGCAAAAGGGATGCAAGTCGCCTTTGATTCTGCAACCAGTCCATTTCCCCCGTCTGATGGTCCTGAGGACAGTAGTGCGGCACTCTTGTATGAGAAAGAGGGTGAGCTGCAAAGTTTTTGGGAAGATCGACAGATTCTGGTTGCTTTCAGGCAGTTTCTTATTTTCCATCCCTGATATAGGAATATCGGAATGATGATCCTCAATTTTTGGATGTTTCATTCTGCTGTTTACATATTTTGGTGATATTACATTATAGGTTACATTCAACCACTGAATTTCATGACATGATGATCTGTGGTTCACCACCAGGATTGCACCCCACCTGCCGGCGGTGTTGCTGCGCTTCTATGAGCGCATCCTTTTCCTGCACCAGGAAGAATTGCGAAGGGCTCCAGCTGATGTGCTGCCTGGATGTCGACGTCGTGATGTCATGGTTCTGTTGGGAGATGTGGCCAAGACGTGTCAACTGAATGGAGTATATATATATATAATTATGTATATATATATATATATTATATTTTGTCATATTATAATGTTGATCATACTATATATATAAATATATTATATTATATTATATATTATGGTATTATGTATATTATACGTAATTACATATATAGATTGTATGAGCATATAGACTAGAATTATAGGATAGTACCGCTGGGATCATTGATCATTCGATTTCGATGTGTCTCCAAATATCTCTTTGGGTAAAGGGCAGTTCTTTTGGGAAGCAGCTTGTAGCAGTGGACTGCTATGAGTTGACCAAGTAAATTAAAGGTTGCCATGTATTGGATATGTCTTACACATATCAACATGTCGGGTCTAGGGTGAAGTGCTGGGTTGGGTTTTTGTAGACAACCGAGAAATGCAGCACATGACGGCTTCAAGGTTCAGTTCCCTGGCCGGTTTCCTGGGTGTCAAAGCTTTTCCCGACATCGAGTTCCCTCGCTACAACTCCATCGGCGGACACCGGACAGATTTGTGCCGCAATATGACTTTGGTACCTTTGGACGAGCGCCTGTGGGGGTCCGTTACCTGAGGGAAATTATGACTGAGTGTGTATTTGAATACTAACCTGGTCTGAAGAAACAAATATTATTCTTATTGATGATGATGTATCCCTGTTTTTTTTGATGTTGTTCAGATTCAATCTGATCGTCGGCAAAAGCATCAGGAACGGTTGGGGAACCTATAAGGTTGATTAATGTCATCTATGTAAAGATCGAGTTTCTTGAACGATAGTCCCTAAAAGGTGGAATTTATTGCATCCACTATTCATTTCGGAGGGGCTTTGTTGTGGGAATTGGATATATATATATATATATAATTTTTATATATATTTATATATATATATATCCAACCGTATCATTGGAATCATCCCACAATTCGTCTTGGGATTTATGCAGATTGATACGGACATGGATCAATATGAAATTACATCAGATTGATCTACATTCCAAAGGATGAGGTCAGTCTATATCAACCTAGCAAAATTCGCAATCATTCTTGCCCAGCACGGGACAGGCCTTGCCTTTCAACTTGTGTCCCTGAGGTAAGGGCCTTGCAGCAGAACTTGGAGGTTGGACCAATGTTGCGGATGGATCCATTTATGGCATGCGTGTTATGATGTTACATGGGGTTTCATGGGGTGTCCATAAATGGGGGTACCCCAATAGCTGGATGGTTTATAACGGACAGTCCTATTTATTTAATGGATGATTTGGGGATACCTCCATTTTAGGAAACCTCCATATGTTGTACTGTGATATGTTGTCACGGGGAAAAGTGATTTCTCAACTATAAGATTTGGGGAGTCCATAGACATGTAAATGTAAACTTGATATGTTTTTAATTAATAAAGATGGGGTTGTTGAAGATGGTGAATTCCATGACAGAAACCAATGGTTTTCTGGGGTCTGTTTATCATAAGGGACGGGAATCAATAATCCTAAAAGATTGTGTGGAAGCGAAAAAACAAAAAAACACAACTAGTTTGATGGTGATGTTCTTGCTTCAAATGCCAAGTTTGAATTTCCATGTCAGATTTCAGGCGTGCAAATCGGCGTCTCAACCTGGAGGCTCCTCATGTCCTACTTGAGGATGCCTACGGCCCAACGAAAGAAACAAAGAAAGGAAGGAAAAAGGAAACATACGCAGACAATATGTGATAATACAGGTATATAGTTTATTATAATTAGTAATATGATATAGACATTCACAATATTTATGTGTCCATACGCTTAATTAGTGTCTTATGTATTTGTTACGCAGAAAGTGATGCCACAGACTCTTCAGGCAGACTACCAGATGCAGGAAAAGATGATGCAACTGAGCAACTCGACACCAAAGCAATGCGGTATGGGAAACCATGGGACGAAGCAACTGGGTGGGTAGTCTAGTACCATTGCAAAACCAACTGGATGTTGCCGATCAGTTTAGTACTGGATGTATTAATCTAACTCATTTTATACATTTTTCACAGGCTACCTACACTGGCCATGTCCAAAGTGTGATCATCCTTCAAGGTTAGTACGAGCGATTTGGATGGGGATGGCTACGGGATTTTGTGGTGATGAGGCTGCTGTTTTCTCTGATTTTTGGCGTCATCTCTGAGAACGTAATGGAATCCAGGAGGTGGAGGGGTCATGAAAACAAAGTTCGGGGACTTACCAGCTAGCCATTTTGACTACCGGAGGTTATGTCCCCAGACTCTATTGTTGGTTACACATCCAATGATATCCTCATACAACCCCATTAAAATCACTATGTTGATTGGTAGTTATACAGTAATCCCTTCCTCCTAATACTAACCCCCCCCCTAATACAAAACACGGCAGGTAGTTTTTAGTATTAGGGGGGTATTTATTATTAGGGAACCAAATCGAAGTCATGTTAATTAATTAATTAATTAAATTTCCTTATATAACGCAATTAAAATATTGCCAAAAATGGCAGTTCGAAGCTTACCTAATACTAAATTAAAACCCTTAATACTAAAAACTATTTTTTCCGATCTCAAAATCAGTTAAATTTCCTTATATAACGCAATTAAAATATTGCCAAAAATGGCAGTTCGAAGCTTACCCCTAATACTAAATTAAAACCCTTAATACTAAAAAATATTTTTTCCGATCTCAAAATCAATTAAATTTCCTTATATAACGCAATTAAAATATTGCCAAAAATGGCAGTTCGAAGCTTACCCCTAATTGCTAGAGTAGCCAGGCAGCTTGGAGTGAGGGATTGGGACTAGGCCCCCCTAATACTAAAAACTCTAAACACCCCGGGGTGAATTAGTTTTTAGTATTAGGGGGGAGAACCCACAAATGGTAGGTTGATTTTTAAATTGTTTTTTAAAGGGGATCAATTAAAAGTCAAATTGGCCAAACTGAAATTTTCGGAAATTGGAGATGGATGCCTGTTTTTAGTATTAGGGGGACGTTTAGTATTAGGAGGAAGGGATTAATCCCAAAATAATCCCATTGAAACCCAATCTTAGCTGGTTAAACCACTATTAAAGGGCTACGCCCTCTGCCGCCGACCCCTGGACACTGGAGGGGAGTGAGATGCACCAAGAGAAGCTCCGGGCCAAGCAGCCGAAACAGCAGGGCCCTGAAGGACGGACCGGGCCTGCGGGCCGCGGCCCCCACTGCCTAACGTTGCTTTCTGAACCGACAAGAAAACTAGCTCTCTGAGCTGTCTTCCAGCCGCGAAGGCTCACAAACGGCGCCTTCGCCACACCGAAACAGCAGGGCCCTGAAGGACGGACCGGGCCTGCGGGCTACGGCCCCCAGTGCCTAACGTTGCTTTCTGAACCGACAAGAAAACTAGCTCTCTGAGCTGTCTGTCTTCCAGCCGCGAAGGCTCACAAACGGCGCCTTCGCCACACAGAAACAGCAGGGCCCTGAAGGACGGACCGGGCCTGCGGGCCACGGCCCCCAGTGCCTAACGTTGCTTTCTGAACCGACAAGAAAACTAGCTCTCTGAGCTGTCTTCCAGCCGCCAAGGCTCACAAACGGCGCCTTCGCCACACCGAAACAGCAGGGCCCCACCGGGCCTGCGGGCCACGTTGCTTTCTGAACCGACAAGAAAACTAGCTCTCTGAGCTGTCTTCCAGCCGCGAAGGCTCACAAACGGCGCCTTCGCCACACAGAAACAGCAGGGCCCTGAAGGACGGACCGGGCCTGCGGGCCACGGCCCCCAGTGCCTAACGTTGCTTTCTGAACCGACAAGAAAACTAGCTCTCTGAGCTGTCTTCCAGCCGCCAAGGCTCACAAATGGCGCCTTCGCCACACCGAAACAGCAGGGCCCTGAAGGACGGACCGGGCCTACGGGCCACGGCCCCCAGTGCCTAACGTTGCTTTCTGAGCCGACAAGAAAACTAGCTCTCTGAGCTGTCTGCCTTCCAGCCGCCAAGGCTCACAAACGGCGCCTTCGCCACACCGAAACAGCAGGGCCCTGAAGGACGGACCGGGCCTGCGGGCCACGGCCCCCAGTGCCTAACGTTGCTTTCTGAACCGACAAGAAAACTAGCTAGCTGTCTGACCTAAAAGGGCGCCTCCGCCACAGCCAAACAGCAGGGCCCTGAGGACCGAGCCTGCGAATTTTCTCTTTTCGCCCCTTGTTGCTAGTAAGGCCTCCTCTGACGCGCTCCCCCTGCTGGCGGCAGGGGTCGGCGGATTATTCACCATTTTTCATGGTCCCAAATAGGGAAGATCTGTGTTGTGGTACCCAAACGATCTGCTGAGGCAATCCCAATAGATCGCTGATGGCCAGACTTCGACGAAGATTGACGCGATGTCATGACATCGATCGCGTGAAGGTCACCTACTGTCCACGACGCAGCGCGTGTGACGGCACCGATGGTCGTATGGAGGTTTCCATACTCATGGGGGTACCCCAAAATTGAATAAAATTCATGGTTTATTTATATTGGAAAAAATGAGATATATAAAATGGATGAATTTGGGGGTACTCCCATTTTAGGAAACCGGCGTATATTTTCGATGATTTTGGATGTGAATCGGAGGAGGTTTATATAAGTCTCAACTAGCTGATGATATTGGTTGGGACATTGAAACAGGCTGAAGCACTTTCTCATTGTCTCATTGTAATGCACATCCAAGCACACAGGTTTTAACTTTCCGCTGCCAAAGAAGCAGAAATTGTTTAAATTCCACAGTCGGCAGATCTGAGTGTCCAAAATGAATCACCTTTCAAGGATTAATCAAAAGGGGCCATGGGCGTAAAGGAAAGAGTAGAGATTGGTCCTGAGTTCCTATTGATTCCCATCAACTTTTACTGATTCCTTTGGAGTTCGGGTTTGGTACTTGCTGATTTGGACCCAGGAAACTCAATGGATACCTTCTCATCAACTGTAGATATTAGGTGATTGATAAAGTCGATGAATTACAGTTTTACTGATTAGTGCTTATTACTTACCCAAAGTAAATAAATCAGATATTCACTGGATAGCAGCTCCAAGAACCAAATATTCCCGCTGTTTTTGCCCTTCCAAAAAGGTTTTGTTTCTGTGGTTTAAGCCAATTTGTCTTCCTGAGTTTGACATTAAGACATGTCAAACCCAGACGTTTTTTGTGTCCCTTCCAACTTTTGGTGTGTCCGAAAATGGGGGAGAGGTGGCAAAATCCAATAGGTCATCATGATTTTTTCCCCATTCAATTGGCCATTTTGGGGTGTGCCCAATTTCCAGACCAACTCCTTTTTTAGCCAGCGAAATATCCTCATCCTTCGGTGGTTTCGCGTGTTTCTAGGACACGGCATCCTTAGAGGATCGCGAGGTTAGAATGGCTGCGTTTCTTGGGGATCACGGAGAGTCATGAATCTCATTGGTCCTCAACTGGATATAAGATTTGTTTGGCATTGTTTTCCAACGGCTTTATGGCAAATAAATTAGGTAAGCAATGCTGAAATCTAAATAATATGGCAAATAAATGCAAATTTAGATTTCTGATATTCTAGGTAAAAGTGGAGGTGTAGCCAACCATTTACAATGGTTTATTGCCGGTTGGTGATTTTCATCCATCTGGAGAAATTCCAACGATCTCACTGTGACGTCGCTGGAGTGATGTTTAGTAACTGTAGATGTAACCATCGCACAATAGTTTTCTTTCAATTCGGTGAATTAGTATACTTGTTCCATCTTTATCCATATCAATGCCTACTTAGTAACTTTGCAAGATGCTACTCCATCGACTGGTTTTTTCCTCATGTGTGAAGTCAAGTTTTCTACCAGCAATTCTTTCATATTTGTCAGTCGTACATTTATCCACCAGTTGTGGGGACTACGGTAGGGTTATTCTGCCTATAGATGCCTGTACTGTAGTCATTTAGGGTGATGGACATGGCCAAATTGTTATCAATTGTTTGGGTTTAGTTATATTATGTGTGATGTCTTTACTCAAACATGGCAATGGAACATCACCCATGTAGAGGTGAATGTCCCTTGGGGATTTTGCACCATCTTGGATAGCCAGTGAGGGACTTGATCACAACTTGAGCTTAGGGCCTCATGCAAAACTGCTGGGAATGGACACAGCCCTCATGGATTTGGAAGATGCCTCTCATAGTTGGGCATTGGATTTCTTAGCATTCCCGAAAATTCGGTGGAAAATCAGCTCAAATCAGCTAAAATCAACCCATTTTCCCATTTTGGACCAGATCTTCCATGCATTTCGCATCCCGATTCCAGGTGCAGCGCATCTTGGACGAAGCGGAAGAGAAGTTCCTTGGGATCGAAGGGTCGGATCTGGACAGGCGGCGTTGTGAAAAAATCGGATCTCAATGGATTTACCTGGTCAATTCACCTATCTTTAGTGGAAAATCCGGTGACCAATGGTGACCAATGATCCAAGTTGGACATAATCAACCAATCTCAACAGTTTGACCCTGAACATCACCGATTGTTAGTTGAAACTCACCTGAACCAACCTCGATGACTGCCAGGGTCGAACTGTTAATTTACTGGAGGGCAAAATCATGCCATGACTTGCAAGAAGTGGTGAAAATTGCCGAAACAAAACCATGGTTTCGTAGGGGGTGTTGAATATGAACAGGGGAAGGGATGATGATTTATTTTCATGGGTGTTCAACTATCAAACATATATGGATAAATTGAGAAGATTGTTTGATCATCTCAAATATGGTGCCTATTAGCATGTGCAACATTTATGATCATTTAATAGGCACTATCAATCCTATAGGTTAAACTATGGTTTTTTTTAAAAAAAAGCGGTGCCTATGATTTTGCTACCTGGTGATCTTTTTTCAAAGCCTCACCTGGAAGGATGACATTTGATGACATCGTGACGTTGGCCCTTGTGATGGCTCTGTCAAAGAGATTCAAATCTTGGGTTTGACATAAACTGATATGCATCCCAGTTCGTAGGTGGTTAATAGCCATGGTTAGTTTATTCAGTTATAGTCGGGATTATTTGTCAAACACTTATAATTCTTGGGTCCTGCACGAGTCCAAGTATGATATCATGATGATATCCCCCTACTAAAAACGCTAAAAATGCAGTTCTGGATTCAGGTACATGCATTTTGCAAATTAAACAAATAAAAGCAATTACCACATAACACAAACAGCTACATAGCACAGACACATAACATAACATAAATACATAATTGATTTTATCTTGGCCTCGACCTGCTTCAGTTCCAAGGTGGAACGAGGACGAAGAAGCGAAATTCCAGCTGGAGCTAAGGCTTGGTTAAGCTGACCATGTTGATGTTGTTGTTGTTGGTTGTTGGTTGTTGGTTGTTGGTTGTTGGTTGTTGGTTGTTGGTTGATGGTTGTTGGTTGTTGGTTGTTGGTTGTTGGCTGTTGGCTGTTGGCTGTTGGCTGTTGGCTGTTGGTTGTTGGTTGTTGGTTGTTGGTTGTTGGTTGTTGGTTGTTGTTGTTG